CCATACCATCATCGACCAAATCCATTCAACTAAATACTTTTCTACCCATCCTTCCAAACTCAAGCCTTCCCAGGGCTCCCTGCTTTGGGTAGTACACGCCTCTCTTACGCATTCCCTCAACAGTCTGTACTTCCCTTCATCACAGTATTGATTAAAATTAGACTGATAGCAACCTGGGGGCAGGACGGTGTCTTCTGTCTGGATCCTCTAGGCTTAGCACGGTGCCTGGCACCATAAATAGTGCTCAGTAAGGATTAGTTCAAAGAATAAATGAATAATCAATGAGAGATACTGTCAGAATTGCAAAGCATATAATGTTTGAACAAGTCTTTTTTTCCTTGTTCTTTTCCTTTAATCATTCTTTTCTTTGATTCATTGTAATCAGCAAACTTAGTGTCACTGCCAGCCCCCTAATACAATCAGAAAAAAATTTCCCCAGATTTGTGCGGGGTAGGGGTTAGTGGTCACTTTTAAGCAGTGAAAAACGCAGTCTTAACATAAAATAACACAAAACTTTTGTGACAATGGGCTCCTCGGATTAGACAAAAACTATAAAATCAGTAGAAGAAATAAGGGCAAAGGATTGTCCTCTGTTCTGTCCACACACTCCCTCTAGTGTCAAGAAATCCAAGTAAGCTAAGGAAAGAAATGGAGCCCGTTGGGTCCCGTCTGTCTCTCTCAATGCCTCATTGACCTGCTTTAAAAAACACTGGGATTCCTTTACACCACCTCTTCCCACATATTCCAAGAGAAAAGGACTGACCAATGAGAGTGGTCTAGGCTGCAACCTCTCTCCCTGAAGTCACCAGAGTTATCTTTACAGAGCTGGAGGGCCTCTGGCCATCTCATGTAATTATGTCCAACCTGGGTCCCCAGACACCTGGACACACAGGAAAGAGTACTCGGGTCATCCAGAGGGCCCTGGCATTTCAAAATGCCTAAAGAAATTGTACCATCACTGGAGATGAAACTAGAAACCACCAAAGAAATTGGCAAGTATCTTTGCCTTCAGCTGTTGGATCAGCACTGTCTCCCACTCGCTAGTTATCTATGCCTTGAATTAATTGAAAATAGGAAAATAGGTAATGGCTTCAAATATGCGGTTGGTAAAGAGCGTAAGGTATGCTTAAATTTGGGGCTCAAAATGGTGAAATCATAATAAAAGTAGTCCTTCACAATGAAAAAACCAGGACCCACACTTCCCTGCTACCCTCTTGGCCTCTGAGAGATGGATAAGCTAGGCTTTTAGAAGGAGAGCATTTCTCACAGCCAGGCCACCTCATCAGACATTGGGAAGAGCAATGACACATTAACCTGCACTAGTAAATGGAAAACAGTATTTTCTGGAAAGGCACTCAGACTTGCTTTTATCAATTTGGGCTCAAAAACTTTTGAAATCTCCTGAAAGTGTACTGTATGAAAACCAAATTCCTTAGTCTTTTTTCTTCTTCTTTTTTTCAGTTTTATCTCTCCCAATTCCACCATCTTCCAAATGACTCCTATGCCTTAGTCTATCAGGTCTCCTCATGTAACTATAACTAAAATTTGGACATTTATTCATTCATTCGACACATATTTGCCAAAGGCTCACTATGAGCCAGGCATTCTGCTAGGTGTTGGAGAAACAGCGAAAGATGTGTCTCTCCTATCATGGAGGACACATGTAAGAAGTGACATGGGAAGGTTGGGTTGCTATAGGAGTCCATAACAAAAACACAAAATCTACACACAGGGAGGGAGGGAACCCCTAAATAGGCAGCATTTACACTGAGATCTGAAGGATAGGAAGGAATTAACCAGGTAAGGAGGAGAAGAAAGCACTCAAGTTGAGAGTACACCATTGCAAAGGCCCCAAAACGGGAAGGAGCATGGAGATTACTAAAGGGTCCTGCTTACTCCAATCCTCTCTCCTAGACCTCATCGCTACAATCTCTACCTATCAAAAACCCTTAAAAACAAGGCTCAAATCTTATCTCCTCTTGATAACCATGACTGAAAAGTATCATCCTTAACTGAACCAAAGGATTTCTTTTCTATAGCATTTACATGACACTAATCTATTACTGTCTTGTGTGGAACCATTAGTATACTTGTTCTGTTCTCCCAGTTATATTACAAGTTCTTGGAGAGCAGAAATCTTTGCACATGGTAGGAACTCAGTTGTTGGACTGAGTTATGTTTCTTTTTTTTTTTTTTTGAAGATTAGCCCTGAGCTAACATCTGCTGCCAATCCTCCTCTTTTTGCTGAGGAAGACTGGCCCTGAGCTAACATCCGTGCCCATCTTCCTCTGCTTTATATGTGGGATGCCTACCACAACATGGCCTGACAAGTAGTGCCATGTCCGTACCTGGGATCCGAACCGGTGAACCACGGGCTGCCTAGCGGAATGTGCGAACTTAACCACTGCACCACCAGGCCAGCCCTGAGTTATGTTTCTTTACATTCCTCACAACATCTAGCCTTAAACCTGGCTGGCACTCAGGTATTTCTGTAAGTGAAATTGAAAGGAAGAAAAATTTTTAATTTTTTTTATTTTAGTTGCCACAGAAGGGCAATGCTTGCCAAGAACTGTGAAGGGTCTAAGATCTTACTCTGTTTGCAAGATAACAAGCTAGCCTGCCACAGTTGCATGGATTCTGGCAGAAGACATGAGGCTCCTTGGCCAGAGACAAAGGAGGTAATTACTCATGGCACAGCAAACAGGATGAGCATCACATATTTGCATCAGTTCTCCTTGCTCCCAAATCCCATGCAGGTGATACAGATAGGCCCAGGTATGCACCTTACCATACAGTGGATTGCATTTTAGAGAGGAACCCTGAGCTAGAAAAAAACAAATCTTTTATAATAGGCAGTAAGCATGAGGCCTTTTGCTCCAGAGGGAGATACCATATTTCCCAAGGCAGCTCATTATACAAACTTCCTTAAAAAAAGAATCCATAACAACAGGCAGAGAGGATGTGGGAGGCATGCAGAAACATGAGAGATCCAGGGAGAATTATCTCCCAACACTGACTAAAGTCAACAGGCATTATTAATAAAAATAGCTACTGTTTATTGGGTGTTTGTACGTGCCATGTATTGTGCTATTTTATATGTATTATCTCCTTTATTCCTCTCGACACACTTATCAGAAAATACTAACAAATCTATGGGAAAATATTTTTATAAATTAAGACTTACAGCATACAAACAATAGCAACAATGAAGAGTTTGGAAACACACAGGCGCGTGAGAGTGGTCTCAGGGAGCGGCTAAATCTATTAGCTGAATACCATCCAGACTCTCACTCCATCTGCTGTGCCTGCTTCTGCTTCTCTGTACTTCTCCAGCCCACTTGGCAGAATATGGCTGTCCCAGCTCCCAAATTCACTTGCTGTAGTTCCAGCCAGCTTCAGAAAATAATTAAGAATCCCGGACTCCAATTGCCAGTTCCACAGAAGAGAATATGATTGGCCCAGCTTTGGTCACGTGACTAGTCAACACTGTGTATTTGTATTACAGAGATAGATTTACAATGATATAAAAATAACCAATACATATTAATATATAAAGAGGTATGCTTTTTTTCTGGTTTTTTTAGTGAGGAAGCTTGGCCCTCAGCTCTGGGGATCTGAACCCACAAACCCCAGGCTGTCAAAGCAGCACGCACAAACTTAACCTCCACACCATAGTGCCAGCCTCTAATCTTTTTTTTTTAAATAATCATTATTTAATTTAAGGTAAGTAAAAATATTGTGGTCCCACTTACTGGTCTGTATCTTTCAGTAGGCTGTGATCTCTTCCAGAGCACAGATATCATTCAACAGAATTATAATCATATTGGAGATATATATATATATATAAATTAATAATTTTCCTGTCACTAAGATTTTTTTTAAAATATTTAATGATAACATAATATTCCAATTTGGGACATTTCTTCAAGTTGCTGAATCACTTTGAATATTTAGATTATTTCCAATTTCTCACTACTATAAATACCATTGCAAGGGTTATAATATTTTAAAGTCTTAGCTACATATGTGATTATTTTTCTTAAGATAGAGACTTAGAAGCGAAACTTGGGCTATTCACTTTTTAGAGTTTCATATACCTTATTGAATTGCTTTCCAAATACGTTGTACCAACTTACATTCCTGCCAGCAGTGTGAGTAGCCCTGTCTAGTTGTATATTTGCTAGTATTAACAATTTTTTTTAATCTTTAATAAGTAAAAATGGTATATCTTTATGCTTTGCTTTCTTTTTTAACTGATGAGATTAAACTGGGTTGTTTTTTTTTTAACTTTTTAATAGCCATATATATTTCCTCTCCATAAATTGTCTGTTAAGGCCCTTGCTGGCAGGAATCAAGCGTTGTTCTTTTCATGTGCCTCAGTGCTTAGGATGGTGATTGTTGCTCACAAAGCTTGGAAAAGAAATATGTAGAAAAATCCAATAGTAACTGTTTACATCCTTGTGGGAATAATTAAGCCACTAAAACCTAACTACTGTATACCACTTTAGAACTTACAAAGAACATATTAGCACATTTGAACCGCATAACTACCGTGTGTTGTTATTTTCAGCATTTCATCACGGCGGAGCAAAGTCTGGAGTAACTGAGGTCTGAGAAGGATAAGCGGCGAAAATCAAGTCCACCCGAGAAACGGAAGAACTGTTTCCTTGAAGGGACTAAACCAACTAGAGTTCCTTCTCGTGTACACCAGAGGGCGAAGCAGCAGGATATGAAGCAGCGAGAACGAGGGGCTCGCTGGACTACAATTCCCAGAAGGTGTCTTCGCGAGGCCCAAGAATCTCAGCGGCCGAGGACTTCAGATCCCAGGTTCCTGTGCGGCTAGATGTGACCCGCCCCCCCCCCCCATCCCCCCGCCGTTTCCTACCCATGCAAGCGCGTAATGGCCGCTGGGTACTCTGGGCGACTCTGCTGTTGACGTGTATCTCACTGTCAGGAAACGGGCGCTGGAAGGTTCTCGGACAAGATCCCGCTTTGTAAGGGCGGTAACGGCGTGCACGGGTTGGGAAGGGGCGGTGGGAGAAGCGGAGCCGCTCTGAACCATGCTAGTGAACTGTAGGTCCCTCTGTGTAGAGGCCCAGCTTTTCGAGAACGCGGGTCGAGCCTGCCCTGGGAGGGTCGCGTGCTACAGACCGCAAACTACATTTCCCAGCGTTCTCGCGGTGCCAGGACTACCTTGCCCGAAAGCCTGCGCGTGATTCATCCAACCTCTCGCCGCCTGCCCCCAACCCGAAAGCTGAGGAGATGTGGAGTCGCTGGGTTTGGCGGCTCCTGGGTTCTGAAGGCAGCGTGGGCCGCCGGGTTTCAAACCCCCGCGGGCGTTTCTCGCCGGCCCTGCGGAGAGGTGAGAAAAGACACCGTGCCACCGATGCCTGAGTGTTGTCTAGGGAGGCGACGGCCGTGGCTCGCGCCTGCTCAGCCGAGCGGGAGGCAAGGGTGCCACCCCCTCCTCCCCAGCCCCTGCCTGGTGCCGGCGACCCTGCTGCCGGCTCTCGCCCGGTTGGATTGGGGCGGGCAGGGCGAGGCCTGGGAAGAGGACCGCCTTCCTCTTGTGAGAGCGAGCCTCTGAAAGGCCTGGAGTTCCCGCCTGGCTTCTTTCTGAACCCTCGGTTTCTTTTTACTGTCAAACGAGGCTGATAATCCCGCCGCGCAGCTCGGTCAGAGCACCGTAGTAAGGTAACCTGTGTTTGGGGAGCCCTGATTTCGTTCGTGGCCTAGTTAGGTGCGGCCTCGAGCCCAGGCTTTGGGTAAACGACAGCGTTCGTTTTAGGTCAGGCCCGCTGTATTTGCGCTGGAATTTTCAGTGTTCTGCAGTCACGTAGGAGCCATTCAAAAACAAAAGGCAAACGTGAATGCCGGAACCCACGAGTGTTGGACTAGCTGGCGCCCCTGTTAGCAGTCTGTCCTGAACAACATCTGACTTTATTCTGAGAGATGTTTCCCGAATCTTTTTTCCCCAGTTTTTCAACTCTTTAAGGTTGGCCACAGAGTAGGCACTTCATCCTAACCTTCACATGCTGTGTTCACCTTCTTAAATCCCCAGTGCCGGGGAGCTGAGCCGCCCACTACCCGCTGTACTTTGTGCTGTTTTGCTCGTTGTTTCATTTTACTCACCCAGCGAGTGCAGTAGTCGATCCCCCATCTGTAACTGTTGAGCTGCCAGGATCCTTCACAAGGTCTTAGGATGTATACTTGGGTGTTTAGCATGCATACGTACACATTATGATGGATTTTACATAAAAGAAGGTAGCATTTTTTGAACCCTGAGAAAGTACCCCAATCTCAATCCTATCTTTGTAAACTTTTAGGGTTACACTTTGTTTACATAATCAAATGAAAACACAGTATTAAACATTTTTAGAGAATGAACTTTGAAGTACATATCAGACTGGAAAATACATCCCTGTAAGTAAACAGTAATGTTTCAACATAGTTGTTGAGTTACCCGACTTGAATCTGAGTGCTCTTGGAGAAACCTTAAGTGGTCCCTTTCACTTGATTTGTGTCTCTTATCACTAAACAAATATTTATTGAATGTTTACTGTGTACAAGTAGTTTAAACTTGCCTAATAATGTCAGTAATCAAGGAATTTGAAAACCTTGACCTCTGACCCATGGAAGGATCTTAGTTACCATCTAGTCCAATTCCCTTTTTAAAGATGAAGAGAAAGCACAGGAAGGTGATAGGATTTGTCTAAGTTTTATGACCGATAGTAGTGGATTCCTAGTTACTTCCCAAACTTAGCAGAACATCAGAAGCACTGGAGGTGTTTTAAAAATAGAGATTCTTAGGCTCTACCCCAGAACTGCTGACTCAGTCTCCAAAACTGGAGCCCAGGGATCTCTTCATTAGTTTATTATTTAATTTATTAATCCTGGTAATTCCGATGCAACTAGCAAGGCAAAGACCAGCATATAGAAATATATATTAATGACCAGCCATGTCACTGAAGTGTTGCAGCTCCAAAGTTATCAGTAAACTAATATAAAACTTGCAGCTTAGATGTAATGAGACACCATTTTACATGTTTTGTCAAAAGTCAAATCTGGAGGCTGGTGTGGTGGCGTAGTGGTGGTGTAAGTTTGCATGCTCCACTTCAGCAGTCCACATTCACCTTGCGGATCCCAGGTGCAGACCTACACACCGCTCATCAAGCCATGCTGTGGTGGTGTCCCACATACAAGATAGAGGAAGACTGGCCCAGATGTTAGCACAGCAACAATCTTCCTCAACCAAAAAAAAAAGGTAAAATCTGGCCTTTGCTGGTAGAAAGACGGCTTGGTGCAAGGTAGGGCAGAGTTCCAATCCAAGATATACAACTTAAAACTTGTGATGCTAGTTAAGTCTTTAAACTGTGAGTTTGCTTCTCACTGTGAAAACCACAAGATAGGTATGAAAGAATCAAAAGAAGTAACAATGAAAGGAAAGGTTTGGGGATTTGTACAATTGTGTAAGTTCTGGGAACTTTTAAGATATTAAAGCCTGTTACTCCACTCTAAGCTGGAAACACTGATTCTAGTTACTTCATCTCCTCCACTATTAATGTGCCTGCAAAGACTTATTCTTAAGCAATGCTTATCAGTTCAGGTGCTCATGACACCCTACTACACATATCAGATGGCTTTTCCACTTCTTTACTGCCGCCAAAGAACAGTGCTCCCCAAAGTCCTACTGCGAGGGAGGGTGTCAACACCTACCTCTTAGGATTGTGAGGACTGAACAAAAGATTGCATGAATATTTGAGCACATATCAAGAATAAATGTTGCACATATCCGTCTGTATTCTCAGCCCTCCTCATCCCCATAGTAAATAGAGCCCAAGGTGGGAACAGCAAAGGCAGCCCAGCCCATGCCTTGGTGAATTTTGCTCATTCAGTTCCTCTTGCCTGGATTACTCCCCTTGAAGATTTACTATAACCCTAGCATCATTTCCAAACAGCCATTCTTGATTCTTTATTCTCAACAAGGGCCAAATGTCCCTCCTCTGTATTCCCTCATGGATATATCTTGATGATATGTCATAAAAAACCACAGCCTTTTTCATCATTGTACCCATAATGCCTAGCACAGTGCCTTTCATTCAGCAAATATCCACGTAACACCTAGAATTGCATTAGGCTTTGGTAATCCAGTGGCAAGCAAGAGCAGATACGGCCCCTGCTCACAAGGACTTTATAGTCTAATGGAGTGGTCAGCAAAGAGCCATAAAGTGAATATTTTAGGCTTTGTAGGCCATATGGTGACTTGCAACTACTCTGCCATGGTAGCATGAAACAGCCACAGATAATACATACATGAATAAGCATGGCTGTGCTGCAGTAAAGCAGTTTAGAAAAACAGGTGCTGGTGGCCTGCAGGTTGTACTTCATGACCCAACCTCTAGCCTCATGGGGAAGTTAAACAGTTATCGGTCACATAAGTGTGTATATTGTGTGAGGTATGGCCAAAAAATAGAGAATACTGTGGGAGCCCCTAACAAGAAAGACCTAACCTAAAGGAGTCTGGGCAGGCTTTCCGGAGGAGGAGACATTCAGACTGAACTCTAAAGGATAAATGTGAGCAGGAAAAGAAAAGGAGAGCTTTCTGAGCAGGGGCTGGGCAAGGGACCATGGGAAGGCACATGGCATGTCTGTGGAATTAAAAGGCCCAAGAGCAAAAGGCCAGAGAGCACGATGTGACAGGAGACTGGAGCTGCCCCCTGCAAAGATTTGCTGGCAGTGTTAAGGTATTCTGTCTCTATCCCAAATTCAGTAGGAAGCTTCTCTTTGTGGAATGCATTCAAATGAAGTCAGAGGAACTGTTTACTCATCTGCCTAGCTCCGACACCATAAGATCTCAAATTACTGAGCTCCTCTGAGCCTTAGTTTTCCTCATCCATAACGTGAGAATTTTAAGGATAATAACTAATAGGTGTGAAAACAGTAAAACATTATATAAATATTATTACTGATTTTTTTTCCCCTAAACCCCAAATAAAAGATTGAACTTCTGGGGCTGGCCTGGTGGCGTGGTGGTTAAGTTCGCATGCTCTGTTTTGTCAACCTGGGGTTTGCAGGTTCACATCCTAAGCACAGACTACACTGCTCATCAAGCCATGCTGTGGCAGTGTCCCACATATAAAGCAGAGGAAGACTGGCAAAGATGTTAGCTCAGGGTCAGTCTTCAAGCAAAAAGACAAAGATTGGCAAAAGACGTTAGCTCAGGGCCAGTCTTCCTCACCAAGAAAAAAACGACTGAACTTCAAGGTAGGCAACTAAGCGTACGAATAATTATTCCTAATGCAATTGTTATTGGAACTATTATTGAAATCTGCCACTCCTTTTCCTCTAATTTTTCTTTTTCTCCCTGTCCTTAGGTCTAATATTGACACACAAAGGCACATTGCTTAACCCTTATAGATGGCACTCAAAGCCAAAAAGATTGCTGACCACTGTACTAATGTGTGTGTGTGTGTGTGTGTGTGTGTGTGTGTGTGTGTGTGTGTGTTCAAAATTGATCCTTTACACCTGCTTCCTCTTATCTTTGGTTAAACAGAATTCATCTATTTGAATGAATTAATCTAAAAGACTGGACATTACTCTTTTATTTTTTTGAATTTAGAGTTTATGTTTAGATTTTTTTTTTTAAACACTTGTTGCCTACCTACTAGTGTATAAAGTCAATGAAGACATCACTTAGATCTGGTTTTGCTCATCATCCCCTGTGCCTAACACAGTGCCTGGCACTCAAATGTTTGTTGGCTGGAAAGATTTTTGGGAAGGAATCACATTTGCCCTAAACTATACTGGCAGAAAAGTAATACCTGAGGTTAGAACTGTGTCTTTTAAGTACCTAGATATCTTAAGTGGTTAGGATGAATAAGAGAGAGAGCATGGGATGACAGAAAGAGCATGAGCTTTCGAGTCAGAAGAATCTAAGTCTGAATCCTGATTTGCCAGTGACTCTGTGATCTTAGGCAAAACCCTTTACCTTTCCTAGGCTTGATTATTGTATCTAAAAATGTGGATAATACCACCTTGATTCGGTAGTATATAAAGTATCTAGTATATTACCTTGTGTTCGATTAGTAGTTATGCTAATTAGCAGTTATTTTGCTTAATATGTAATAATAGTAATGAAGTTATATATGGGCAAAGTTCTCCCTAAAAGAGAATGCCTTTTAATAAAATTCATCAGCAGTATATGGAAAAGGAGCTTACTGTGTCTAGGTTAAAAATTGGGAACTTATTGAAACAGGACATTTAGTTCAAAAATTAGAAATCTTTCCTAGGGCTTTCATGATGACACTGGTAAATACTCCAGGATTTAAAATAAAATTCATCGATTGATTCAACAGTAAAATATTGTGACCCAACTATCTGTCAAGCACTGTTCTAGGTGCTAAAGATACAATAATGAAGAACACAGTCAATGCCTCCTGGACGTACATTCTGGTTCAGAGAGACAAACAGTAAACAAACAAGATAATTTCAGATTAGAACTGAGAACTATGTAGGAAATAAACTGTGGATATGTAAGAGAGAAGGAGTACAGAAAGCTGCTTTAGATGAGGATATAGATGTAGAAAATATTTGTAGCTCTGTGAAAGACTTCTGAGCCCAAGGAGAGTTAGGCAGTTTCTGCTCACCAGTAATGAGAGATGTGGCAGTGATGGCCAACCTTTTGGTGCATAGTATTTTATGATTTTAGACTGACTCAGCAAATAAAATATTTCTGAATACTAAAAGAAGGAAATGAAACATTTATTGAATGTTTGCATTCAATATGTTAGAGACTTTTCAGATTAAGTCAGGGGCTCAGAGGAGTCAATAAATCTTGCTTAAGATACAGAATTCCCTAAGTAGGAAAGTTGGAACTGTATTATAAAAAGATGGGGGGAAATGCTTTAAAAGCTAAAGTGTAATACTTCTGTTAGTTACTACAAGAAAAAAAATTGTCTTCTCTTTTTCAGATTTTTTAACCACCACAACCAAGGAAGGATATGATATGAGGCGAGTGGACATAACTCCTTTAGAACAAAGGAAATTAACTTTTGATACCCATGCATTGGTTCAGGACTTGGAAACTCATGGTGAGAAACATGGGTACCTCTTGAAAGAAGAAAATTAACAGCACTCATAATAAATTACCTAGTCAAGACAATATGACTATTATGAACAAAAGTCACTATTTAAATATAAGTACTATTCATCCGGTGGAATATTTCACATTCATAAAAATGGTATTGCTTGAAGAATATTTACTGATATGAAAAATGCTCATGGTATGTTAAGTGAGGAAAGCATTATATAAAATTAGATATGCAGAATTATTTCAATTATGTAAAAAAGAAAAAAAAACTAGAGTTTCTAGGCTGATACTGAAGTCCGTGTGGAAGTACAAGGACAATGTTTAAGAATAGCAAAAAAGAAAAATCAAAGAACAAGCGGCAAAAATTTCCAGATACCAAATAGAATGGCATTCAAAACATATTTATAGGGGCCGGCCCCGGGGCCAAGTGGTTAAGTTTGCGCACTCTGCTTTGGCAGCCCAGGATTTCACTGGTTCAGATCCTGGGTGCAGACATGGCACCCCTCATCAGGCCTTGCAGATGCAGCATCCCACATAGCACAGCCAGAGGCACTCACAACTAGAATATACAACTATGTACTGGGCTTTGGGGAGAAGAAGAAGAAGAAAAAAAGATGGGCAACAGATGTTAGCTCAGGTGCCAATCTTTAAAAAATATATATATATATATAATCATTATATATATCTATGGATTTAGCAAGCAATAAAGAAGACATTACAAATTAGGGAAAGGAAGGACTATTTAATAAATGAGATAGGACAAATGACTAGCCATTGGAAAAAATATATTAGATCCCCGTACTGAAAAATAAATTCCAGATTAACTAAAAGCAAAATGTAAAAAATAAAATAAAAACTACAAAAATACTAGAATATAGAATATTTTTAGACTTTTAGAGTAACGAAGCAAGATACAAAACTCAAAAGCAATGAAAGTAAAGACTTACAGATGTGACTACAGAAATATTTAAACCTGTATGTCAAAGGATATCTATAAAGTTAAAAATGTTACAAACACATACGACAATGAGCCTATTGCTTTAATATACAGTGTTCATATGGATCAATAAGAAAAAGTTCAGCTATTTTAGAAAAATGGACAAAGGCTATAAACAAACAGCTCACAGAAAAATAAATATATATCACCAATAAATATATATAAAGATGCTTGACAAAAGAAATGCAAATTTTAAGTATAAATTAAAATAACAATTGTAATACCAGTTTTTATGCCAATTATATATTTTAAAAAAAGACTAAAAAACACTAGTAATATCCAGTATTGATGTAGATGTGGGGAAATGGATCAGTGGGAATTAAAATTGTAGAGTGCTTTTAGAGAGTAATTTAGCATAATCTGTCAAAATTTTAATTGTGACCATTTTTTTCAAAGAGTATAACAATTTAAATGACGTGGAAAGTTATTCTAGCTGTCTATCCTGATAAATATGTTCACTTTTTTAAAAAATATAAATACCTATTTGCCGCCTACAGGATTTAACAAAGCACAAGCAGAAACAATTGTATCATTATTGACCACTTTATCAAACGTCAGCCTGGATACTATCTATAAGGAGATGGTCACTCAAGCTCAACAGGTAATATTTTCATTTTTATCACTTCTGACAGTTTAATTAGACAATCTTTTCCATAACTGCATCTCTGTCTACCCACCCACCTCCCAAACACACCTACGTCTTCCTTATTCTCTCTAAAAACAAAACCCTTTGGTAAAGTCAATATCTAGAGAGATTGAGGAGTTAGAATAGTCACAGTAAAATTATGGTAACACAGAGAATGAAATGTTGTCAGATCTTGTATTGCATGAGATAATGTTATTTGAATCATGAGACGGTGGTAGATTGTTAGTGAAACAACTTTTTCCCCATAGAAGATCCACCACAGTAGAAGAGCTAACCTTTCTGTATAATAAAATAAAAACATTTTACTGCAGTCATGTGTATCTTCTGGTTAGTTTTCACAAACTTAGAAAGCTGGAAAGAACTTCATAAATCAGTGGCTAATATGCTTTAATTTGACTGGATACACAAATCCTTAAAGTCAAATAATGCCATTTACTAAGAACTTAAGACATGAGAGGCACAGTGGTGGGGACGTCTCATATATTATTTAATCCCTCTAACAACCTTGAAAAAAGTAGGTGGAATTATTAGATCTTGCCATGAAGAGAGGATCAGAGAGGTTGAGCAATTTGCAGGAATTGTCATTGTGGTGCTATGGACAAAAAGCAATGATTTTATATAAAAGAATAAGCTAAATGAGCTTAACTGTGGAATAATTCATAGTCTGTCAATCGTGAATTAATTCACTGTGTTTAAGTACCTGTCTTCGACCCATGGTTATATTTTTTAAATTAAACTTTTCAAATTTAGGATTCCTTCCTCAGATAAATATTTCAGAGCAGAGAGAAAGTAGGATTTCTTTCTTACATAAAATTAGAAGCTCTTGCATAAAATTTTTCATTAGTTTACAGGTCATGAAGGATCAAAAGCTTTTAAAGATTTTTACTAAACTCCAATTAATTACAATTAAAAGCATTCAACCCCTAGATTTAACTTACCTTTAAATTTGTGTGCTTTATTTTAGCTTAATTTATTCAGGCTCATAGCAGACTACTAAATCCACTAAAGAAAAAGCCAATTATATAATTAATTCCCCCAAACCTCTAAGCTATCCTAAAACAGTGTGGCTTAACAAATGGTGATAGGTCCACACCAGGGATCCAAACCTGCAAACCCAGGCCACTGAAGTGGAGCGCTCATGAATTTAACCACTACGCCACCAAGCCAGCCCCTTAAATCAGATTTTTTAAGTTTACCTATAATATAATCAGTGAAGCAAAACTGTGATTTGAGGAATTTTTATGCTGCCAGGACCCTTCATTCCTACATTCAAAATGTAGGATTTGATGTAGGACCATTACTACTAAACTTTTGGTTATGACTGGTGTGTGAAATTAAAATCCCATTCCATCATTAAACCTAATCCAATTGCTGACCCCACCTCTGGGATAGAATAAGGCAAAAAGATGTCATGAAAGATGGGGCTGAGGCACAGGGCCAACAGGCAAGCAAGCTTTGTACTTGATCACTAAAGAAAGTGCCATACTAAGTCAAGTCTGCTCAATCTGAGAAATCAGTTATATTCTGAATTCACTTATAATTTGAATTACAGTGGTCCCCCCCTTATCCACGGTTTCACTTTCTGCAGTTTGTTATCTGTGGTCAACCACAGTCTGAAAATATTACATGGAAAATTCCAGAAATAAGCAATTCTTAAGTTTTAAATTGGGCACAGTTCTGAGTAGTATAATGAAATCTTAATGAAATCTTGGTCATGCATCTAGAACTGTTACAGCCTCTGTTTTATAAAAGTCAAGTCGGTTTTGAAATATTCTCACCCCTCTCAGTTAGCAGAGGACTATAACCCCAACAATGCACCCCTGGCCTCAAATTGTGACAAAAAATGGGAGTTCCACTAATGATATTGTTTTGTTTCAGCATTTTTTGTTTTGTTATAAACCCTTAGTTTTAGTCGTAGGGGATCGTTTTCAAGGTTACACCCTCATCTGCTGTCTCTTCTGGTGATGAGGGATAAATGAGTCAACAAGCCACCTACTTTTAAGAAGTTGAGTGGTAAAAGTTATATTTTCTTTATATGGCTGCCTTAAATCATTTCTACAAAAATGTCCCTCCCTAGCAAAGCAAAAGCTTACCAATCTGTCCGATAGGGGCCACCTTTGCTTTCACATGTTCTTTGCAGTGCCAAATATAGGAAAGATGCCCAGGAATTTAAACAAAACTAATTATGTTAGGCTGACACAGGGTAATTATTTAACACTTCTATTTTGTTTAACTACCTGACTTCTGAGTCGTATCTGGTACCCTAGAATTTTCTGATGGTAGAAAATCCCTCAAAATCAAAGGAATAAAAGATAACAAAACCCTTTCCACGTGGGTATTAAAAAAAAACAAACATTATTTGTTGAGGAACTCTTAGAGGTTAAATAAGCATTTTATTGGGATTCTTTCAATAGAAAGACCTGAACAGTTATTTCTCTTCACTGGAAAATACTTTTTCTTCCTTGAATCTCCTGTTCCTTTTCATTTTGATATTTCAGTTATATAGGTTTCATACGTTTTTTGTTTTTTTACTTAGCCAAGCAACATTATACCTCGTGGCATGATCACAAATTCTTTTAAGTATCATGAAAACAATTCTGTGTAAAGGGATGGCATTGTGTAAATCACTAGGTTACTTTAATTTTGCTTTCTAGGAAATAACAGTACAACAGCTAATGGCTCATTTGGACTCCATCAGGAAAGACATGGTCATCCTAGAGAAAAGTGAATTTGCAAATCTGAGAGCAGAGAATGAGGTGATACAAGTTTAATTTAATACTAATAAAATAACTGATCTCACCAGTATCCTACTTGGTGAATAATAGGACCAAATAACAATTTTATGTGATTATTAAGTTTTTAGATAAAAATATACTATGTTTAACCATACCCAATTTTTCTATGTATAAACCATAGTTTCTTGCATACTAAAGAATAAGAGTTGTATCTTATACATATAAAAGTCACATAAAAGGAAAAATCTTTGAGCTGTGTATATTATATAAAATTTCTAGTATAACTCAGTATAATGTTCTCAGCTGAAAGTAATATGGCATTTTCCATTTTATTTGATTCTGTACTAATTTTTGTCACTTAGAAAAACATGTTTCTGTGATTCACTTGGAACTTTGTTATCCACTAGCTTAGATATTTTTTAATTTAGAATATCAATTTTTAAAAGTAGAATACTAAAACATGGAGCCAGCCCCGTGGCCGAGTGGTTAAGTTTGCACACTCTGCTGCGGCGACCCAGGGTTTCGCTAGTTTGAGTCCTGGGCGCAGACATGGCACCACTCATCGGGCCATGCTGAGGAGGCATCCCACATGCCACAACTAGGAGGACCCACAACTAAAGATACACAACTGTGTACCGGGGGGCTTTGGGAGAAAAACAAAAAATAAAATCTTTAAAAAAAAAATAAATAGAAAAAAACTTAAATGTTTTCTAATGTTTTGTTCTTAAGAATTTTCTGAATATGAACTACAGTTCTTTTTTTGTTTTTATTTTTAATTAAATTCTGTATTAGAAATCCATAGATTGTCCAACTTTTGCTAATCCAGTTTCAGATTTTTTGAATAAATCATAATATGGGCTTTTGGTTTAATGTTAATTGCATGTCATCTTTCTTATACCTAGAAAATGAAAATTGAATTAGAACAAGTTAAGCAGCAACTGATAGTAAGTGAAACTTTTTTTTCCACTTCAAAATATTTTATTAATTTCAGAACAAATATTCATTACAAGATCATTTTAATATTTTTGTTTTCTTTAAAGAATGAAACAAGTCGAATCAGAGCAGATAATAAACTGGACATCAACCTAGAAAGGAGCAGAGTAACAGATATGGTAATGTGCTTTTAAATATACTCTATTAGTTATTTATTCCTTTTTAATTCCTTTTAGTCTTTTTTTTTTAACCTCCTGATACATCATATCCTTTAGTTTACAGATCAAGAAAAGAAACTTATGGAAGCAACCACAGAATTTACCAAAAAAGTAAGCTAGTATGTAAAAATTTCTCTTTTGTACAGCTCTGAGAGAGCCTTGTGTAACTTGTGTATCATTTTAAAAGTTTGGACTTTAAAAAGCTAGCCCTCTGGAATCCATGATTACCTGATAGCTATGATAGTTAACCAGCACTTTGGGGGAAGTTGCCACCAGGTGGATGGTAGTACCTGAGCTGTGACCTCTGAGTCAGAATCAAGCTTTCCAGGTAACATGCTTATTATTTTTAACTAAATTATTTTTACATAGAAGAGAACCATTTTGTAAAAGATAGGATTCACAATTAGTATTTGAGTACTTAGGTTCAATTAAATCATTATCTTAAAATTTTTTTAATAATAGTAAAGATTTATTGAGTCCTTACTATATGTCAGATCCTGTTTTACTTTCTTAACTGCTGTCTATTAATTTATTTAATCCTCATATCAGCCTCTGTGAGGTAGGCACTCTTATTCCCATTTAACCAATTTGGAAAATGAGGCACAGGGAGGTTAAGGTCACACAGCTAATAAGTGGTAGAGCCAGGATATGAACCCGGATTCTAAACCCCATACTCATAACTACTATTTACCTTTTCAGTAATACTAAATTGTAATCACTAATCTCTGTGGCTTGAGTAAAATGCAGCTTTATGACTCAGCCTAGTCCTTTTCTTAAAAGTAAAAGCCACTTGGTCTACGTTCTAACAGAAGAGACATTACTCTTTCTTTCTTATAACTTAATAGAAGGGAAGGTCCCATTTATCCTTCCAAGCATCGTATTCTCTTACTTCTTGGCCAGATAAAGGAGATAAGTAAGGAAATCAACAAATTCTCTCACAGCGAATTTCTGAGCTCTACGTACCATCTTCTCTCTCTTCTTACCTCGTAGCCCCTATATACATAGCATTCAGTGTTACCCAACAAGCATTTCTGCCTTTTCCTTTAATATTGGTGCCAATTCATATTATAAACCTGGTTGGGTTTTTTCTTTGGCAAAATATATTTAAAATTTAACTAAGGACTTTATACACATGAAGTGATAGTTCTGTGACTAAAATGTTTTCTTCTTGGTTTATCCTCTTAGATATTTAGGTCTCAAATATCTTATTATGAGGCCTTAGTAGACAGTGCCCAGAATGTGATAATCCTAAGAAATGATCTCCAAGTATCAGAGTAGAAGAAATATTTTTTCTCAGTTTGTGATGTTCATGTAATGTTACTTTTTTATATCACTGGGCTTTTACTATGTTTCCCTAATTAAGACAAAAGTAATAAACAGTAAGCCCATAAGTGAGGATTTCCAATGTAAATATTTTTGTCCGTAACACATAGAAACAAAATTTAATTGTCTTATATATTCTTATTTACTACAGGATACCAAAACCAACAGTATTATTTCAGAGACCAGTAATAAAATTGATAGTGAAATTGCTTCTTTAAAAACGCTGATGGAGTCTAACAAGCTTGAGACAATTCGTTATCTGGCAGGTAAGGCTGGGTTTGTCAGAAAAGGAATTCTTGTCATTTGATTTTCAGACCTGTTAGCTCCTACCTCCCAAGGTAACCATGGCCAGCACAGAAGAAAAGACAGAGGAGCTAGAACAGGCTTCCTTTATTGCTTAGTCCCCTGCAGTGCTTGAAGAATGTAAGTTGAATACATTTAGGATATAAGTTTAATAGGCAACTCTGCAACTTACTAATAGGAAAAGCATATGGATACCAACAAAATATTTAAACACAAGTACAAAATGATGCAAAGATAAACTGGGTATTGCACAATGAAAAAAATGAACATTTTATTTTTATTGCTGTGCTTTTCCATAAGGACTTCAGTGGACTTATAGAGAAAGATAAGTAAAATAGATATAGGTCATTATAAATCATATCAAGCAAAGGAGAAAAATTTACCTCCTACCTTGAATACAATTGATTGAGCACAGATACTTCCCCAAAATTAGATTATTTGTCACATACTGAACTCCTCAAGTACCATGTGACCTGACCAATTCCAGGGCCTCAGGGAGTTAGAAGAATGCCCTAGTCCAGTAGTACTTTTCTTTTTTCTTTCTTTTTATAAAAAGTAATAAGTTTTCATTATAAATTGTTCATATAATTCAAAAGCAATATAGTAAAAGGGATAACCTTCCATTCCATACCCATAGGCATTTACTATTAGTAGTATATATCTTTCTAGGCTTTTTCTTCTGTATATAAACATTATAGATTTTTAAAATAATAACTAGATCATACTATACAGACTACAGCTTTTTAAAATTTAACCAAATGTCTTGAATATCTTTCCATATCAATACATATATAGACATCTTTTTACTAGAAAGCATAGTATTCTATTCTATGAAAATCCCATAATTTATCCAGACCTCTATTAACAGATATTCTGCTCCCAATTTTTCATTATTAAAAACATTGTTGCACAAAATAGCCATATATATGTTTGTGTTTGAGTAAACATACACATACACATATCTTTGTGCCTTTGTGCTAGTATTTCTGTAAAATAAATTGCTATGCACATCTAAACTTTTGGGTCAAAAAGATACGCACATTTAAAAATTTTTGTATCATCAAATTGTCCAAAATAAAAGTGCTGATATATACCATCGGTGGTTTCCTGGGCAGCCACTAATTATGTTGAGATGGCAGTTGGAATGAAGATGGAATTCCCAGCCCTCAGCTGATGCATACCCCCTTCCTCTCTTCAACTTGAATGGCTCAGCATCTGTCTTTTTAAAATATTGCACTTCTGCTAAAGATTCACTTGAAGAAAGGGTTCTAAGGCTAAAAGAAGTTTTGAAAACCCCTATTCTAGCAAAGTCTCTGGAACTGGAGATCTTCAGTTCAACGGTAATGCTCAGGGGAAATTTTGAAACAGCCCAGTTCGTTCTCACTTTCAAAATAGATCTCAAAGCAACCCAGGTTGGGAAGAGCTTCAGATTCCACTCAGCTTCCTCTAAGAGTATTTACCTAAAGAATCAATATCTTAGTTAAAAAGACAATCCTTTTTACCCTCAGTTTGAAGATGGTGATGGTCTCCAGAAAGCTGACATTCAGAAGTGGATATATACAAGGCTAACTCACTCTAATAGACTTAACGGCAGTGGCAAAAGAAATCAGCAAGTCATTGTTTAGAAAAATACCTTTCTTAAGTTATCTTCCTTTCCTTTTTTCACTGAGCGTTTGCAACCAACAGTTCTGAAGGCATTTTCTTTCTCCTTCCTTATCCTTCTCCAAACATATGCTTACTGCTGCTATTACTGGTAAGCCTGTTAGGAAATCCGAATCCCACACTCAGTAGAGGGCAAGTTAAATGTCATGAGTGGATCCACTGGGTCCTAGAATACCTGAGATGTCCCCAGTAAGAGATTCGCATATTGAATTGAGTCATAAGCATAGGAAAAAAAGTGGAAAAAATAGTAATAAAGCCCCAGCATTAAAGATCTTGCATTTCCTTAGAGAAGAAATCCTTATAAAATTGTAAATCTTAATCATTTTTGTTATTTGGTTTCCCAGCATGTATCAGTCAAGGCTCTGTTTCAGGTATCATACATCCAACTTGAACTAGCTTAGGCGTAAAAGGGAATTTATTGGCTTACTTACTGAATTATGAAAGGACAGAGATAGAGCTTGACCCCAGGGATAACTGGAATCAGAATTTACTGCATATCCTGCCTCTGAATATCTGCCTCATTTTCTTATACCAGCTTCCTCCATGGGTTGGACACATGGCCACCAGTAGCTCCCAGACTCATATCATTCCAGTTTCACCCCTTTCCTTAGTTGCAATTCATTTTAACCCAAATGACTGTTGCCAAGGAGGCAAGAACTATAAGATAATGGCAGTTTCCATTTAATTTCTAAGGTAAATGTGGCAGATTCTATTCTGGGCAGATGAGTAATAATAAACCACTTACAGAATACTTAAGATGTACCAGGCACATGCTCACATGAGCATTTTATGTACATGTAGGATGCATCCTAGACAGACCATAGAAGATAAACAAATTTGAAATCAATTTGGGATAGTACAATGACAGCAATGAGAAGTAACAGTTGACAGCAGAAATGAGAGAGACATTTAAATGCAGTAACCATTGTGTGGTGTATTCTAATAAAGAAATCAAATACCTCCTTCCTCACAATAAATAAGCGTTCATTTGTTAGTCTGACTTAATTTATCAAGTATTTGGGTTAGCAAAGAATGTAACCATGTAGGTAGCACTATATGGCTCAAACAATGACAAATTAGATTGAGTCCTTCAGGTGACAAGGGATAAATAAGGATAACAGAATGGGTTTTTTAAAAACAAGTTTGGAGTCAGGTCCACATAGTGATGAGTCCTGGTTCCACCACTTGCTAGCAGTGTAACTTTGGGTTTATTGCCTTGTCTATACAATGGAAATAATATCACTAACCTCATAGGGTTTTAATTATAGTTAAATAAGGTAATGTATGTAATTGCTCAGCACACTGCCTGGAACATGGAAAACAGTAGCAGGATCAAATGGGAGAATGTGTAATTGACCAGTGGCAACATGGCAAGAAACTCTTGAAGTGTTATTCTTTCTCCTCAAATGTCCAGCTTCCCTGTCTGTCTTAGAAAGACCTAATCCCATTTCTTAAAATTAAGGAAATGATCTTGTCATTAGCCAAGTTTCAGTAATTAATGGGATCAAATGGGATAATGTATAATTAAATTTATACATTAAAATTAGGATAGCTTTACTATGAAAGGCTATTTCTTGTGTCTTTAGTCATAGAAGTTTGCCCTTCGTCTCAGATTCTGTATTTTAAAAGTCATGGTTATTTAAACAAACTAGAAACTAGGAAGTCCCTAAAAGCTTCACCTAGATTCAGCTTCTGGAGGAGAACAGAAGGTTTTCTGTCCAGAATGATGTAACAAAGAGCCGGTGGTATATTAACCGTTAAAAAAGCCTGATGCTGGGGCTGGCCCCGTGGCCGAGTGGTTAAGTTCGCACGCTTCGCTGCAGGCGGCCCAGTGTTTCGTTAGTTCGAATCCTGGGCGCGGACATGGCACTGCTCATCAAACCACGCTGAGGCAGCGTCCCACATGCCACAACTAGAAGAACCCACAACGAAGAATACACAACTATGTACCGGGGGGCTTTGGGGAGAAAAAGGAAAAAATAAAATCTTTAAAAAAAAAAAAAAGCCTGATGCTTTTTCTGCCTTTTCTGGTTTTTACAGATTTTCATTAAAATTTCATTTTTATTTATAAATTTTTAATAGTTATGAGAGAAATTATTTTTAAATATACTGAAAAGGCAATTAAAATTTTATATATTTTTAATATAGGTAAGAAAGATAGTTTTTCACTTACAAGATCTGAAATTAGACTTCATAATTATTTAAAGTAGTTATTGTTATAAAAATGACTTTAAACAGTTTATAGATTCTGACATATAATCTACATTTTAAAATTATTGTCATCCTTATTCTGGTTTAAAATATAGGAAGCTTTTAAGAAGAATTGGTATTAATCCTGCCTTCTTTAGCTTAATTTTCTAGGGAATGAAAAACCTAAGAGAAAATTGGTAGATTTCCTTTGTTTTTTGTTCTTCATTTAAATTGAAGATGACATTATTCTGTTCATCTCTGTAAAACAATAGAAATGCATAACCTGTGACGTGCTGTCTTCTTTTCACAGCCTCAGTGTTTACTTGCCTGGCAATAGCACTGGGATTTTATAGACTCTGGAAAAAGCAGTGAAAGTGAAACTACTATATTGTGCTCAGCCTGCTGCTGCTGTTGACTTCTTAGAACACTACGCCAGGACAGATTTACTTTGAACGTTGAAAGTTGCAGCAGAAACTTAATACAACAAAATTATTCAAAGGACACATGGACTAAAAAGAAATGTTTTAGAATAGGAAGGGTGTATTTTGTCTTTGTTTTTTATATGTGTCTTGATTATGTTGAAAAGCTGCCATTCAAACCCTGATAAATTTGAGATAGAAGGGCCTTTTGTCTTTATCCTTTTGATAGTTCATAGAAGCCGAACCAAAGTTTCTTGTGTTTGCTTGAACAACTGTGTAAATCATATATGATTTCTTTTGTATCTGCAACAAATTTGAAAACTATTTCAAAGCCTACAGACTTGTTACTGTATTTATCTTTCCTGATAACTACTGCGCAATTACCTTTTCATAGAAAATAAAATATTATAACAAAGCCGTCTGGATTTTAAAAGTGACTTAACATATAGCTGGAGATTGATAATTTTTTGTAATGAACAGATTCTTAAAAATGTGTGCCCTAGGGCTGGCCCCGTGGCCGAGTGGTTAAGTTCGCGCGCTCTGCTGCAGGCGGCCCAGTGTTTCGTTGGTTCGAATCCTGGGCGCGGACATGGCACTGCTCATCAAACCACGCTGAGGCAGCGTCCCACATGCCACAACTAGAAGGACCCACAACGAAGAATATACAGCTATGTACTGGGGGGCTTTGGGGAGAAAAAGGAAAAAAATAAAAATCTTAAAAAAAAAAAAAATGTGTGCCCTAGTGCAAGTGTACAACACTTAGTATGAAATCTGTAGAGTTGCTAAATCTTGAGCTCTGATTATTACATATATTTTTAAATTTTTTGATTCACAAAAACCAGTTTATCCCTGCTTCTTAGGAACCCATCTTAAATTTATTACATAAAGCTTTTTTATGATTTACTTAAATTTCACAGATGTCTATTAATATAACCCCTACTCTCAAGAAAACTATCAGGAAATCATACTTTTGTTTTCTTGTTATTGGGTCTACTATATTTCTTTCTTATATAATAGTATCTATTAATAGTCTAGCCGTAATTTCAAGAAAAATACAAAATATTTTCATCTCAGACTTTCAGTTTTATCCAGATCAAGAAGCCAAGGCCAGAAAGTGCTAAACATTTCAAAAGATTTCATAAGGCCTTGGCAATAGCTTTAAAAGTTTGATAATCCATTAGTTATTCAAAATAACCCTGTGATTTATTTAGTTATAAAGAGGGAATCTGAAGTATAGAGCAGTCAAAAGACAGGCCCACATGGTCCAGTGAGTGAGAATCAGGAGGCTTTCCAACTAAATTTTCTTCAAAGATCTAACTGCTGAGTTGTTTTCAAAACAAAACTCTATTTTAATATTATCCTGTTACATTCTGATTTATGTCTATCTCAGAATCCTCTTGCCACATCATAGATAAATTTTTATTGGAAAATAAATAAGAACCAAAAGTTCCCATTGTAACAAACTCTACAGTGCATTTGTTCACTCAATAAATAAGAATACACGCGAAGTGCCAGACAACATGCTAGTCCCCACGTGCACAGAGGTGAACATGATGGTTCTCATAGAACTGACAACCTTAGTGGAGAAGATGGACAGTACGCAAATAAGTAAGTTATTGGCTTGTTACAATTTAAAATATGCTAAAATACTGAGAGGGAACACTTCTTTCCTCCATGTGAAGGAAGTTCTAATAGTATAACATTATTGTCACCACTCTTCCTCCCCTCATCCACATTGCCCCAAGTGAAGTGAAGTGAAAGGAGAAACAAGGCCCAAGTAGCCCAGCCACTTCCTCCCCACTCCTGTTTGGGACCAGCCTGTCTACAGAGAACATTCATTCTCTTCTGCTTCCGGGATCAGGCTCAGCCCCTGCAGGGTGAGGCCTGCCAGTACAGTGATGCTTGGGACAGAGTGAATAAGTCTGTCCAATTCTGGGTTTCAGTGATAGGAAACTTACTGGACCAAAGATATAAACCATATTCTTCAATACCAGTTTTATCAGCAAACAAAGGTACTATTTAAGCCTTCATTTCAATTAGGTTCACAACCCTGATGGGAAGGAGGGGTGGCACTTATTGAATCTCCTCAAACCTCAACAAATAAAGATGCATACTCCCAGTTCATAGCCATTATTGATAAAAAAGATCTTGTGAAGTGCTTTGCATCCAATAATGGAAGAATAGAAGTATTATACGCACGGTACCCTATTCCCATTACTTCTAGATCCTATATCTTTTCCATGGAGACTTCATTTTGGTGGTAATTTTGAAGTTTAGATAGATTTTGTTTAGGGGATGGAAATATCTGAAATGAAAAAAGATGAGAGGATTGTGTTTCCGTGTGCCTCAAAACTACACCTCTTCCAGAACTTGTACCCTACTATAAAACAGCTATTGTTGTACAGTTATATATGTATGTCTGTTTCCTATACTAAACTGTGAGTTCCCAGAAGGCCTCTAGGCATATATGAGGTACTTGTTAAATGCCTGTGGAATAAATGATATGAATAGATTGACCTTAATCCAAACTTTTAAATATTTTCAATGTTTTATTACGAGTGTGCTGAGAACATTTCATTTATACTGAGTTTCTGAGAACACGAAACCTTTTGGGCGTTTTCTGTAGGAGGTAAAAAGACTCGAAGAGGATTAGCTACCTTCACCTTGGTTACGGCCATAGACTAGATCCTAACTTGCCCATTCATACTACTTGGTGAAAATGTAGATGAGGCAAGATTATATAAGGACTAGTCAAGAGTCAGTAAAAACCCTTCACCATATCTGAAAAACAATTCAAGGCTTATATTGCCCCTTTTGTCAATCTTTAAGAATTTAGATATGTAACACCTTAAGTTTCAAAGTTTTAAATATTTTTAACATAAAGAGAAAAATGAGGCAGTGGAAAGGCCATGGTCACCACCACTGAAATTAGTGATTGTCATTTTGTAGAATACCTACTATTGACTATACAGCAGTGAAGATGCTAAAAATATATATCAACTCACTATTTTTCACAGCAGTCCTCTTAGGCAGGTGGCATTATCCTCATTTTACAGCTGGGGAAACAGGCTAAGTGAAGTAACGTGCCAAGGTCACACAGCAGGTAAGTCACACAGACTTTAACTCCAAATCTCATGCTCTTACTCAACACCCTAATAATCTCCAAGTTGAGTCCTCTACTTCAAGAGATGAACAAACAATCTACTGAGGCATGGGAAAAAACGTAGAATTTCTACTTCTATCTCTTTTTAACATCTTCACTTCTATTTCTGTATTTCATTAACATAATGTGGCATAAGAAATACATACTTGGTCTTTGTCCCCAGTTCCTGGCACAGAACTCCTAAAACTCTTGTAATTTCCTGAGTGATAGGGATGACTAGGAGCTTCTTTTGTTTCCTGGCACAGTCCTAAAAGCCTTGGAATCTCTGGAGTTTGATGAATGTCTTTTGTATGCTGAGATGACTGGTGGCTGAGAGCTCCTACATAGCTTCAGAATGGGGACTGGTTGCCAGAGAGACCAAGGCATGATTGCCCCAACTCCCACTTCTTCCATGGAGGGGCGAGGGAAAGAGAGGACCTGCAGGTTGAGTTCAGTCACCAATGGCCAACCCGGTAAACACAAAGAGGTGCTAGGAGGGTGGCACACCCAGAGAAGGCATGGAAACTCCATGCACCTCTCATCCCACACCTTGCCCTATGCATCTCTTCCTGAGATGTATTCTTTGTAATCAACTGGTAATAGTAAGTAAAGTATTTTCTTGAGTTCTGTGAGTCATTCCAGTGAATTACTGAACTTGAGGAGGGGGTTTAGGAACCTCCAAATACACAGTTGACCAATCAGAAATACCAGTGACAACCTGGAACTTGTGAATGGTGTCTGAAGTGGGGGCAGTTTTGTAAGACTGAGCCCTTAACCTGTGGAGTCAGACACTAACCCTGGGTAGTTAGGGTCAGAAGTGAATTGTTGAACACCCAGTTGGTATCTAGAAAAATGAGAATTGGTTGTTAGTGTTGGAAGACACTACATATAACATGACAATAATACATATATGTGATGTAATTAAATATACATTATTTGGGGGTTATATTACAATTTAGATTTAGCTGTTATAATAAAATCTGAAATAATAGTGGCTGAAATAATATAGAAGTTTATTTCTCTCTGACAGTCCAAGTGTAAGCATTCCAGGGCTGGTATGTCAGCTCCATGGGGTCAGGGCCTAGGCTCCTTATCTTAGTGCTCTATTGGTGTTGCCCTCATTCACAAGGCCCAATGACTCACCACCACATCCACATTCCAGAAAAAGAAAGGGGCAAGAGGTGGGCAAGCCCTTTCCCTTTAGGAGCTTGACCATAACGTTATACACACCATTTTTGCTCACACTCTATTGGCCACAACTTGGTATCTTAGCTGCAAAGGAGACTGGGAAGTAAGTCCTTAGCCTGAGCAGCCATAAGCCCAGGTAAATCCTAATACTATGGGAAAAGGGAAGAACAGATATTTGGGGACAACTAGCGAACCTCTGCCACAAGGGTGCATGCTTCTATTACAACACTCTTCTGGTATTTCCTACGTCACTGGTACAGAGACTAGAGATGTGGCCTTAGAAAACTGAAGCAAGTACAACGAACTATTTCCAGGGTTAAGATTAACTTTAAGGTCACCAGGCTAGAAGGAAAAAGTAAGGCCATGTGTAGTCCCAGAAGGTGAGGGAAATGTTGGATTTGGGAAACTAACAATAAAGACTATAAAGGTTATCAAAAGGATGGGTAAGCCATTTTTTAACACTTGCTTACAGACCCTTGACCAGCCTGAACTGGTCTTAGCAATCAAACGCGCTTACAGCAAACTGGTCCTGATAATACTAGGTCAAAATGGCCTTCAGCATCCATGTAAGGCAAATGCCAGAGCCTAGAGGATGGGCAGTCTGTGGTATAGCAAGAAGGCTGCTGCCAGTGAAGCCAAAAGCTAGCAATCAGATCTTCAGAGGGAGGCAGGATCTAGACAACCGCCCCAAGAGAGTCACAAATCTTTGCCAGGTCAAGGAGGAGGGGCACGGGGTAGGAAAAGCGAAGGAATTGAAGTCAGAACTGAAATAAAATGCCATGGTTGTTTTTTGGTCAGCAAAGTCAAGGGGGAAAAATAGGAAGAAAGAATAATAAAGCCATGTGCTTTTTATCCTGTCCAATCTACCTCGTCTCTATATTCCTTTCTTATAAAGCTCGGAAGACAGAACAATGATTGAATTCTAAAGCAGATTATTTACATGGATATTCTTAGCAAACACACATTATGTTTTTTCTTTTCCTTTTACAGGCACTGATTTTCATTTTTTTGTAAAACTTTCTGGAGTGAGATATTGGGTTGTTACTGTGAAAGTGTCCTTTTCTAAAACTTACTGGTCTTAGGTTGCATTGTCTCCCAAATCCAGATGCTCTTTAAAAGTCAAGTCATTTGAAAAGTTAAAAAATTTTTAAAAATCTATACTAGTAGTAGTATTCTCTAGAAAGTAAAAGAAACATTATAATTCTCTTATAAAGCCATAAGAGAATTTTTAATAATTTTAATATGTAGAACTTGATTTCTTTTGATTACTAGACTGTAACATATTGTATTTTAAAGTTTATGTGAATATTTTTAAAATTAATTACTCATAAATCTAGAGTCTTGACTTGCCTACACAAATATATCAAAAGTATATTGGGAGGAGGAGTACAACTGAGTCATATAATGTTAACAATCCCTTTGGTGTTATGTAACATATTTCTGCCTTCAAAATTGGAGTAATAGCATATCAGAATAATTCTGAGAAGAGTTTATATAGATTTACATTTATATCAATTTAAAAATAAAAGAGAAAAATCAAGCAGGTTTATTTAGTTATTTCACTGATTAGTACCTTCTCACAAAAACTCCCCCGGAAGACATCTTTTTCTTCATTCGCCTCTTCTCTTTGCTTGACTCACAAGAAGAGTCATCTTCCTATACAAAGGAAAAGAGGGTGAAATAAGATTTCTATCCTAGACACGTTTTCATTTTCTACATTATCTGTTCCAAAAGAAAAAATTTAACCATACTAATTTTGTCAACTCTAGACTAAATATCTTTCAGGGTTTTTTGTGTAAATAAGTTCTTAAATCTGAAGTGCCAGTATATAATACTGTACTGACTCAGAAGACGGGAAGGCACTGTGAGAAACCATCCAGTACTATCTCTACTTAAGACACCTCCAAAAGAGAACATCTTATTTCTGCTTCTCTCTTAGACTAACGTTTCATACATATTGCTAAATAAAATGCACAAAGTGTTAGTATGTCATCCTCTGGATTCTTTGCAAGCCTGAGAGTGCTAGAAATCACATTTCCTGGCTCCTCTGTTCCCTCCTCTGTGTTCACACAACATCCCTCTACTGCTCTTCTCTCATTTTCCACTTTACCCTACCACCTACTGTTTCTGAATATTTCTCATCCATTGTGGCACAGAAGATTCACTTAATAAATGCTATGGGAAGGAGGAAGAGAGGGCTAGAAACACAGTGGATGCTCACTAGATGTTAATCATCTTTGAATAATTCTTCCACTCAAAACTGCCCTGCACCCAGTTAGCCAAGACAGATCTGAAGGCAGGGGCTCCAAGAATAGCACAAGGCATATGTCCATGGAGAGGGCCTACGGCTGGAGTTAGCATTCCCCAGGGTTTTCCTACCCACACCTCTGCTAATGAGGTCAGTCAGCTTAACTCATATTTTAGTGTGTGAACATGTTACTTCCAGTAAGCTGCCATTATCCCAAATACTCCAGAAATAATGGTTAAATACCAAAGCCTCTACTAACACCAAATACGTAACTCATTCTATCAAACCAAGTCTTACTGTACAACTGTTTAAAAGAAAATATGTGCTTGGTACTCAACAGGCCTCCAGTAGGTGTTCTATGAAAGTTCTAAACTTTCAAATTCCAGAAGTTTCTGCAATTGGGGAATGCTCTTCACCAAGATTACTCATTTTCTCATCATAAATTATAGCCAAAAACATATTTCTCCCCTAACATGTGTTTGCTCCAAAACTCAGGAAAAGAGAACTATAATACTGAGATATTGAATATATGAATCATGGTATTTAGGCATCAAAAGCAATTCTAAGAGTAAATACAGTCTAGTACTATAAAAAAAAATTAACTCATATGCGAAAATGTATATATTTTAAATATAAATCAGTATTTTTTATTCTGAAAGAATTTATAGGTTTGTTGAAGAGATTAATAATACTACACATAAAACTGTTGACAGAGGTTATATATCTACAAATTACTGCTTGGGTATATGGAATTCTTGTTTTTGAAAAATTTCGTGCAATCTGAGTTCTGGGAAGCATATGAAAATAAAAGGAGATAAATCCCACCTTCTTGATTAGTAGAACAGACTCTTCTTAATAGAGTATCAAAACAATATAACCGAAGAGAGAGACAGAGAGAGAGAGAAAGAAAAAGAGAGATATCACAAACTTCTAGATCTTCCCTAGACTAAACATTCGTCTTGGATAAGCTCACTTAAGCCCTCGAATTGTTCCAAGGACCATTACAGGTTCATGGACTAGAAGGTCAGAGGACAGAGAGAAACCCAGCAGAGATCATATCAAAGTTCAATCCAGATCCATACTCTTGCAGGCAGAAAACAAGCGTAGGTTCAACAAGGAAGTAGTCATGGAATATTACCAGTTCCAGTTTGGCCATTCTTGATTAGCAAGCATGGCCCAAAGCTTTAGACCAATGACTTCCTAAATGAGTCAGGTTTTGGAGTTCTCTGCTGAAGTTATAGTTCTCTGCTGAAATTATAGTTCCAATCTAGTTTAAATTTCTTAACATTTTTATTTAAGTATACATACCAAAGAGCACAAAGAAAAAAATGTACAGCCTGATGAATTTTTAAAAAGTGAACACACCCAACGTGACCACAACAGAGATCGAGAAATCGAACATTGCTTGTATCCCGGAAGCCTCCATTTGCCTCCTTCTGGGCACTACTGTCTTGATTTACTTTACCTATTTTTGGACTGCTTGGAATCATACAGTACTCCCCCATACAGTTTCTTTTGTTCAGCATCATGTTTGCGAAATTTATCCACAGTGATGTGTAGTGCAGTAATTCATAGATTATATCAAAATGTATTTACTCTTATTGTTGATGGGATATTTGGGTTCTTTCTAGTTTGGAGGATATTTATAACAATGCTGATATGAACATTCTTGTACATGTCTTTTGATGCCCCTCTGTGTACATTAAGAGACATGTACTAATTCCACTATGAATTAATGAGTCCTAGGTATCTACATATAGGTTCAGCTTTAATAGATACTGACAAACAATTTTTCCAAAGTGCTTAAACCAATTTACACTCCCATCGGTGGTGTATAAAAGTTCCAATTGCTTCACATCCTCACCATTTTGTTTTATTTTAATTTTAGCCATTTCATTTTTTTTTATTTTAATTTTAGCCATTCTGGTGGTATATACTTGCATCTTGTTTGGTTAATTTACATTTCTGATAACTAATGATTCTGAGTACATTTCCATGTCTATTGGCCACTTAGATATCTTCTTTTGTGAAGTGCCTGTTCAAACCTTGCCCAGTTTTTTACTGGGTTGTTTGCCTTTTTTATATTGATTTGCATAAGTTCTTTATACATTTTGGTTACAAGGAAGGTATTTTCCTACTCTTTGGCTTGCCTTTTCAATCTGCTAATGTTGTCTTTGATGAACTAAAGTCTTATTTTAATGAAGTCCAATCTATCATTTTTTTCTCTACACCAAGGTCATGAAGATCTCCTACTGTGTTATCTTTTAGAAGCTGTATTACCCTCAACTTCAAACTTAAGACACATCTTGAAATAAATGTTTGAATAAGTGTACAATTCCACAATCAATAACATTATCAAAATTATTATAAATTTCATATTTCAATTTTCATAAGTAAATTAACTCTATTAAAGAGCTATCATTAAATGTTTTTAAAGACCAATTTTTCAAAATAAATTTTTTTATAAGCACAGCGAGCACACAGGAAGGGCAAGGGGGTTATAATGGCAGTAAAAAGTGGTGTTAAAAGCCCAGACTTTGGGCTAGACAGTGAGGTTCAAATCATGGCTACCCATCTAACAAGCTGGGTGACTTTACATAAATTCCTTATTTTATCTGAGATTTGGTTCCTTATCCATAAATGAAGATAATAACACCTACCAGATACAAAGTTCTCAGCACTCAGCCCAACACAGAACAAGTATGCAATAGCTATTGTTGATGATGACGAAGATGTTTATTAAGATACGTTAGATGATCTCATGGACCTTGAATTTTCAATACTCTAGGTAGGGTAAGTGCCCAATTAAACTAGAGTACACAGGATGAGGTACCCTCAGAGCAGGACAAAGAGCTTGGTGAAAAAAGGAGAGATCATATGTGATCAGGAGGATTAGGAAAGGGTTGACCAACGAGATGGTTCCTGGAGGATTTTGAGAGGCAGAGCTGATAGAGAGCCTTCAAGATACATGGACAAAGCTGGGTGGTGGGAAAGTGTGGGGCAAGTCCAGAAAAGACAGGCTACATATAGGGGAAGAGAAAAAGAAATAAGGCTGGTGAGGTAGGTTAATGCAGGCTAAGATGAGATAACATGTGAGAAAGCATTATAAAAATAGTTATTATCAAAACCAGTTATTACTACTATCAAAAAACTATTTCATTACATTATATATGTCAAACTATCCTAAGAAACTACACTAAGAATTTTTTTCTGGATAAAAATTATACTTTTGCAGATTCTTTTCCAGGGGTAAAAGTCTTACGTACAGTTGCATGCAATCATAGGTTCTGACCAGAAGGTGGCAGGAGAAAGGTTTAGTCAGAGCTTCCCGAGAAGAATCTATATAAATGAGCACTGAAGGAAACGTTCATTTTATTTATACTTTATATATTTAGACTCCAAAATAAACTAACCCCTCCTACTCTCAGATGCATAGGGCTCTACACATTTATCTACTGACTATGTTTATTCAACCTGAATACAGAAAATGAAAAGGAAGGAAGGAAAAGGAGAAAAGGATATGAAGAAGGGAGAATATAATACTATGAATACTACTAGACAAAAATACCTCAGGAGTTCTACACAGGATTTCATTTAACATCAGTACAATCTCATGAGGTGTTATCCTCATTTTAAAGATGATGAGATTGAGACTTAAAAACTTTTGCACACGAGAAAATAAGTAGTGCCAGGGTTGCAGCTGCCATGAAAGGTCAGTGACATTTGCTCATTTACAAAAATTGGATAATCTAAAGCAGGACTGCAAAGAACGATGGGCCCAGAGTACACGGCCCTTGAGTCAGCTCTCGTGAAAGCCTACACGTGGTTGGCAGAGAGCACGGGCTAGGGAGGGTGTCCTGTAGAGGATGAAATCAAGACCAACCCTGAGAACAGACTCTTCTGGGCAAGAAAATAATATTTTTAAATAGCTAAGAAACAAAAGTTTTCTAAGTAGACAATTTGGAATGACTCAAAAGAAGATGTGCAGCTTGGTGATCCCTGAAAGATCCAGCAGCTGGAGAACAACATACGTTCCTGCCTTTGAGGAGACTGCGGGAGTCGGCAGAGCTCCTGCCACAAGGTGGGGAAGGAATGGATTTGGAGTGTAAGTGGGAGGTTATGAAAGGTATGTGTCCTCCAGCCAGCATCACAGAGGCTGCACAGATTCGCCTCTCGATACTCAAGTTTCCCCGGGGGCTAAAGGTGGTACAAAATGAGCACTGCAAAAATGAAGAGAATGGATTATTATAATTAATTATATCCCCTGGAAAGTTAAGCACTGGTGAGATACCAAAACCCAGAGAGAGTGTTTGAATTTGTATAAGCTAGAAATATATATGTGTGTTTGTAGATGAGTAGAACGTTGTCTGATATGAGACACATCAAGCCATTAATAGCAGCTCCCTCTGGAGAGTGACACTCGGCACGGGGAGGAACATCTGCCCTGTTTTTAACGTTTTATGACAAGCACATATATTACTTTAATATTCTAAAAGTGGTTATTAAAGAGGCTAATGATTACTTTGTGCAAAACAAAAAAGAGCAAGGATGTTTTCATTAGAGATCAGATTTGAGGTGATACAGGTCTAGAACGCAAGATGACTAAAGAAAAAACTTCTCCTGTGGAAGGAAAATATGGAACGTACCTGAATCCCCACACTGTCACATGAGCTATCCACAGGGCCCCAGCACGGCTGCCCTCACTCAGAAGAGAGTGAGAGTCAGCATCTCCCCAGGGCACTTCCAGCATGCTCTCCTCTGAGACCAGATGCCAGAAATACAACACCGCTGGCGCTTCTTGCTGTCACTTTCACTCTATTTTCTATACTCCACCTGCTTTTCTGTTTTTGTTCTTTTTCTCCGTTTCTCATATCAGTTTCTTTTTAGCTTCCTTCAACATATTTGTCCTTTTTATTTGTCACTCTAAGCATTTTTCTATATTCTAGAGTATATTCTGAATTCTAAGTTCATAATATTCCAGTCAGGAATTATGAAAGAGCTAAGGCTATGGAGTTAAAAGCTAGATACTGAGTACTGATCCCACCATACTAACTGTGTGACTTTATCTTTTTTTTTTGTTTTTTGAGGAAGACTGGCCCTGAGCTAACATCCATGTCCATCTTCCTCTACTTTATATGTGGGATGCCTGCCACAGCATGGCTTGCCAAGGGGTGCCATGTCCGCACCCGGGATCTGAACCAGCGAACCCGGGCCGCTGAAGCAGGACGTGCACACTTAACCACTGTGCCACCGGCCCAGCCCCTAGCTGTGTGACTTTAGACAAGTTGCTGAACTTCTCTGAGCCTTAGTTTCCTCATATCTTAAATGAGGACAGATCAAATGACATACAGTAAGATAACATGTGAAAGAACTTTGTAAAGGTAAAGTGTTACAAATGTTAGTTTTTATTACTCTGTAATCTAAACAAAGGGATGCTATGCCAACTTCCATGCTGGCTCTTCCTACTCTTAAAACTGCTCTTTTGAGGAGCTGAAGCTTTCTTACATGGTTCCATTCAAAGCTCTTTATTTTGGCTATTTGAATGTTAAAATATACATACTCTCTAGCTATCTTAGAATTCTTATTGATTACTCCGCTTATAAAAAAATATTTTTCCCTATATGGTAATAATAACAATAATTACTGCACACTTATGAACAGACTGCTATTCTAACCTATATATATATATGGATATATATGTATGTATGTGTGTGAATATATATAGCTATAGTTATATATTTACATATGTATATTCTCTAATCCATACAATACTCTAGAAAGTACAACTTATTATCTCCAGTTTACAGCTAAGGCACAGAGAGGTTAAATGATTTGTCCAGGCCAAAAAGGGTTATAGGCAGGATTCAAACCCAAAAAGCCCCAGTCCAAGACTTGCACTCTTAGCTACTCTTGAATACTACTTCATGAGAAAGATAAATGTGTTAAGAAGGACACCAACCACAGCCACAAAGTTGGGGACCTGAATTTTTTCCAGTGTCTCCCTGAGTTGATCCACCTCTGCTCGATACCCGTCCAGCTGACATTCTAATTTTTCTCTGCGTAGTCGTTCATACTCCAGCTGGTCCTGCAGCTCTTTGACAGTCCTATCAAAAAAAAAATTGTTCTCAGTCAACCTCCAGCATCAACTAACAACTATTTTTGGTAATAGTGAAACACATCCATGCACTGTATTTAGGGCCAATAAAACAAAGAAATCATTTATTCAACAAACATGTATTCAGAGTTTACTATGAGTCAGCACTGAGCCAGACACTAGGGATTCAGTAGCAAAGAAAACAAGTCAAATCTGCCCTCGTTGGGCTTACTTTAGTAGTGGAAAAAGACAGACAGTAAAGAAATAAGTAAAAATATGGTATATTGGCAGGTGATAAATGGTAAGGAAGAAAAAAGAAAGCAAGAAAGAGTAATATAAAACATTGTCGAGGAAGGGGTTAATACTTCATACACAGTGGCCAGGGAAGGCCTTACTGAGAAGGGGACTTCTGAGCAAAGTCCTAAAGGAAGTAAGAGAAATTATCAAGTAGACATCCAGGGGAAGGGCATTCCAGACAGAGGGAATAGCAAGTGCAAAGGCCATGAGGCAGAAGTATGCCTGGTGAATTGGAAGAGGCCAATGTGGCTGGAGTAGTTTAAAGTATAAAAAGGGAGAGTAGTAGGTCAGAGAGGTAAAAGAGAGCCAGGACAAATAGGGCCTTATACGTCAGACCAAGGTCCTAGGCTTTTACTCTGAGTGAATGGGAAGACAACAGAGGGTCTAAGCTGAGAAATGGCATGACCTGACTTAGACTTGTTTTGCTTTTTTTTTAATGATGTAAAATTTACTTTGAGTGACATACACAAGTATCAAGTGAACAATTCATTGACTTTTGACTAATGTATAAACCCTTGCATCCACCACTACCAAAATATAGAATATTTCCATCACCTCAGAAGGCTCCCTCATGCTCTTCCCAGGCAATCCTCACTTCCCATAGGCAGTGAATATCTGATAATTCTGATATATCTATCATGGTAGATTAGTTTTGCCTATGCCTGTAAATGAAATTGTACATTACACACATTTGTGTGCCTGGCTTCTTTCAGTCAACAGTATGTGAGATTTATCTGACTTAGGTTTTAACATGATTACTCTAGATGCTGTGACTTGAACCACAGTTTTTTTGTTTCTTTGGTTTTTGCCTTACGGCTGGATGGTGAAGGAAAGAGCATTCCCAAGGCACGCTGGGTTGGATGTCAGGCCCCAAGGAGGACAATCTAAGAGTATACAGTAGTAACTCTGGTATGAAAGTGAGTAGGATTAAGACTGGGGCTAAGGAAAAAGAATGTCAATTGTGGAAGCCTAAAATTCAGCAAATAAGAAGGGAAAATCATCCCTAGGACGGAGGAATACAACTATGTTTTGTTGTATTGTGAGTCTGATCTAACTAATAGATAACAACAATATCAAAAGGACATCCTTCAAACCAATACTTACCCAGTTTTTCTTTACAATTAGATCTAAGGTCAAGAGTTTGTACCCCAAAGACTTGTATTGGTTAAAAAGCTCAAAGTAGCTGTAGTCTCAAAAAAGTCTTAACTCCTTATAAAGTTTCAGTTTCGCAAGAAGAAAAAAGTTCCGGAGATTGTGCAAAAATGTAATGTACTTAACACCACTGAATTGTACACTTAAAAATGATTAAGATGATATATTTTATGTTATGTGGATTTTTACAACAATTAAAAAAAAATCTTAAATCTTCTCCATCCTGGGGCTTAGGAGGAAAACAGAATGTAATCTTATACCCTTTGGTGGGGATGAAAAAACAAGTTGTTGGTCAACAAACTCTGATGTGGCATTTAGAGAGCTAACCAAAAATAAACCATTAAAGTTTTGAGGACGTTACCTTTCAGACTTGAGCCGTTCTTTCTTCTGCTTTAGATCTTCTTCTGTTATCCCTCCCAAGTGTTTATAGTTGCTCTCAGCAATTTCCAGAAGGTGTCTCAATTCTACTATTTTCTTATAAGCTCTCACTGCAAGACAGAGTTGAATAGGAACCTAGTTTAGATAGATAACAGTTCATGTGCTCACAGGATGCTGGTCCTGGAGCATCTTCTTCCTCTAGAGCCAGTGTCTGTGTGGTTTGGGGAGGGGGATGGTGGGAGGGTGGCACACACATAGAAGAATAAATATCAGTAACAGAATATTACAATGAACAAGCAATGAAATATGAAAGTGGAGGATTCTTTTCCTGATACTGGAGGATATATCAAATTTTTATGACTATTAATACTATGAACAAGAAGGCTTAAAGAAGACTAGCAATGTTTTAGGACTAGTGGTATATGAGAGGACCATGCATAATCTACAGTAGGTCAGAAAATTAGACAAACAGAAATATGCTTGATTCATTTAAAATAAACCAGAACTAATCCAGCCCCCAAATTTAAGATCAGTCATGTGTAATATCTATGCAAGAGGATACTGAGAGAAGGAAATGCGTTGACAGCTGCTTTCAGCTATTCTCTAACTATCAAACTGTGATTTTTTTATCCTTTGTGGAGGTTCTCAACCGGGAGCAACTTTCTCCCCAACAGGACATTTGGCAACATCTGGAGACATTTTTGCTTGTCACAACTTGGTGGGTGAGGGGAACAGGCTATTGGCATCTAGTGGGTGGAGGCTTGGGATGCTACTTAACATCCTAAAATGCACAGGAGAACCCCCTTGACAAATAAGTATCTGGCCCAAAATGGCAATGTACAGAAGTTGAGAAACCCTGCCTTTCAGGATCAGGTTAGCAAATCACAGCCTCTTCTCTAACACTTACACTTACCTCACACGTACATTTAACACTTACACTTCTAACACTTACCACACGGATTTATCTCTCAATAGGTTAGAGCTGCAGGTTCAAAACTGCATATATCAGAATCAACTGAGGTGCTTTTTGAAAATGCACATGTTTGAGCCCCACACCAAACCAACAAATGCAGGTGTCGGTACTCAGTAAAAGCTCCTCAGACAATTCTGATGGGCAGACAGGTTTGGGAACCACTGTAACTATTAGAAAGCAACTAGAGGGGATCTTAAAAATGTTACATAAGAAAATATCAAAATAACTATCGCTATTTAGCTTAAATAATAATTTCTTTAATATCTGAAGGCTATATTTGGAAAGAGCTGTTCCACGGGGTCATCAGAGGTAAGAACTAGGATGGGGATTAACTCCAGGAAGTGAGATTTTAACTCAACAAAGGAGAAACTTTCAACAAAAGCAATAAGAGCTATCATGTATTTGTGGAGTATCTATGAGGTTCAAGACCCTACTCTAAGGACCTTGCACATTTTAATCCTCACAAGAACCCTGTCAAAAGATGGTAATGGGCCTCCTGGGCAATCGTGGGTGCCTTGTCACTGAAGGTGACTGAGTGGATGCTGGACAACATGTGACAGGAATGTCAAGCCAGGAGTCAAATCTCAAATGGTTATAGGGTTCTATGATGCCGTGACCCTGAACATAATTCACTAAAGAATGCTTATCCAGGAAGTCTGGAATGACAAGAACCAACCAGTCCCCTTTAGGTGCTCTGGCAAAATCTAGTGTCCCAAGAAGAGGTTGTCTAGTCCTCTGGTTTCGCCCTGGAATAAAATTAAATAGTGATAAGAAAATAGCATGTGACCTCATATATAGTAACTTCACTAGCAGCAAGCACCCGAGCTGGGCACCAGAGAGCCTCAGTGTATGGCAAGGGTGTAAGGGCGCATTTGTAGCTAACACACTACAGTAGGAAACTGTTCTAGTCACGTTCTCAATCTTTCCTGAAATATCTTTTAAAAATTTTGAGATTCACTGACATGACCCCTCACAAATAACTCTTACTCAATTTCAGAAGAAACTCAAATTCTACAAACTCACTGCTGATGTTCTGCAGTTCTAGGTCCCTGCTAATTCTCAGTGCAAACAACAAAAAGAAATCTAAGCACAAACAGCAAAATAAAAAGTAGATAAAGTGGACTTCGTCAAATTTGCACTGCAAAGTACATCATCAAGAAAGTTAAGAAACAACCCACAGAATAGGAGAAAATATCTGCGGCGAAAATATCTGCAAATCATATCTGATAAGGAACTTACATCTGGAAGTACTCTTACAACTCAATAATAAAAAGATAAACAACTCAGTTGAAAAATAGGCAAAGGATGTGAATAGACATCTCTTCAAAGAAGATACACTAGTGGTCAATGAGCACATGAAAAGATATTCAACATCATTAATCTTTAGGGAAATGCCAGTCAAAACTACAATGAGATACCACTTCGCACTCACTACAATAACTATAATCCATAAAACAAACAATAACAAGTATTGGCAAGGATGTGGAGAAACTGGAAGCCTCATACATTGTCAGTGTGTATGGAAAATGGTGCAGTCACTTTGAAAAACAGTTTAGCAGTTCCTCAGAATGTTAAATACAGAGTTACCAGATGACCCAGTAATTCTAGCACCTAGCTATATACCCCAGAGAAATGAAAATATATCTCCACATGAAGACATGTACACGAATGTTCTTAGCAGGATTATTCATAATAGCCAAAATGTGGATACAACTCAAGTGTCCATCAACTGATGAATGGATATACAAAATGTGGTATACCCACACAAGAATATTATTTGGCAATAAAAAGGAATGAAGTACTGATCCATGTTACAAATGTACATGAACCTTTATGCTAAGTGAAAGAAGCCAGTCACAAAAGACCACATATGGTATCATTCCATTCATATGAAATGCCTACAATAGGCAAATCTATAGAGACAGAAAGCAGCTTAACAGTTGCCTAGAGATGGGGTGTGGGGGACACGGAGAAGAGGGTAGGAGTAATGGAGAGTGACTACTAACGGACGTGAGGTTTCTTTTTGGGGTGATGGAAATGTTATAAAATTTATTGTGGTAATGGTTGCACAAATCTGTGAATATACTAAAAACCATTAAATTGTATCTTAAACTGAATGGTATGTGAATTACATCTCAATAAAGTTATTTAAAATAAAGATGACCGAAAATTCTGAAGGGATCATTAACTCTGACCTCAGTGTAGGGTGACTGAGATCGGCTGTTTATCGGGAGCCCCTATGTCAGCATCTTCAGGTCTTCCCTTGGCTGCACTCACCAGAAAAGAGGGCTCCACTCTCCCCTGGAGAGTGAGGTTCTCCCTCATAATGTTCTGGGATCTCTTTTAAAACTTTGATTTAAAAATCTAGACACAAATTAGAAATTTTCCTTAGAGAATATAGTTTTGGTACAACTAGTTCTTTCTGCCAGAATAACTGAAAATACTTTCCAGAGATCAAGAGGAAGGGAACTGACATTTACTGAGCTTCTACCACAGGCAAGGCACTTCCCATTCTCTAGTGGATTAATTTAATCTTTACAACAACTCTGTAAGAGTGACATTATGTTAATATTCTCATTTTTATAGATGAGAAAACTGGGGCTCAGAGAGTAACACAGCTAGAGAGTGGTAAAGCCCCGAAGCCAGAATCCAATGCCCAAGCTCTACTCAACTTTCCTATAGCTGCCTTTGTTTTGGTGAGTCTCAGCCAAACAGATCCTTCTCACCTTTCTTCTATGAAAGAGCTCCACTGAAATAGTTCTTCTCACCCATAAGTACAAACCATGGCTCTCTGACCATCAATAATTATAACACTGAGATAAGTGTTATATAAGTCATGTAAGTCACTGTCCTGAGAGCTCCTAGATATCCATTTGCTTCAACCTAATCACATATCCCCTTGAGAGGAAGAAACATTCCCACTTTTACTCACTAATTGGGAGTAATGTTTAACCATTTGTTCATAACTCAATGAGTTATGAGTTATGATGAGTTATGAATAATGGTTAAACAAATGGTTAATGAGTTCATAACTCAATGTTTGTATCTCCTCAAAATCCATATGTTGAAGCCCTAACCCTCAAAGTGAGGGTATTTGGAGATGGAGCCCTTGGAAGGTAATTAGGGTTATATTAGGTCACGAGGGTGGAGCCCTGGTCCGATGGGATCAGTACCCTTATGAGAAGAGACGCCAGAGAACTCGCTCACTCTCTCTCCCCGGTGTGAGGATGCAGCAAGAAGACAGCCGTCTCCAAGCCAGAAAGAGAGTCCTTCCTAGAAACAGACCCTGCCAGACCTTGATCTGGGACTTCCAGCCTCCAAAACTGTGAAAAAATAAATTTCTGTTGTTTAAGCCACCAACCCAGTCAATGATATTTAATCACAGCAACCTGAACACAGTAAGACACCATTTAATGAGATAAGACTGTCATTCAGTTGGTAATCACAAAAATTAAATCTTTGGCATATATGTCTCCATAATGCAATTAGTATGAAAGAAAAAATGAAATTACAAAACTATTTTAGGAAATCCCACTAACAAATATGGTAGATTATTAATCTTGCCATTGTGGGAATCAATGAACAGAGAATCAAGACTTTCATAGCTTTAAAAAATAAAAAATCAGACCAGTTTAGGAAACAAGCAAATATGCAGAAATGATTTGTCTGTTCACCAATGTAACGCTAGCACCTGGAACAGCGCCTGACACATAACAGGTACTCCATAAACATATGATGAATGATGGGAGAGAAAAAAAGAATTGATAACACACAATTTCAGTCACTTCTTTTAGTAGTATATTGAGCAGGTTCAGAACACTTTCCGAATTCCAGAAAGCAAGACTATTTCTGATGCACTGTTACAGCCCTTAGCCTAGGGCCATGCACACAGTATAATTCAAATATATGTTAGACAAATAGAATGCCTTCCTTATCTGTTTTGTCTATCTAAGTCCTGGCTGCCCTTCAAGGTAAAGTCCAAATTCCACTTCTGAAAAGCCTTTCCTGCTACTCTGTCCTTTGTGAACAGTCCTTTCAAACTTACTACCTAGTAGCCCAGCCAAGAATCTAAGAGTCATACTTGATTCCTCTCATTCTCTAATACCTTATATCCAATCTATCAGCATATCCTTCGAAATACACCCAAATCTGACTATTTCTCACCATGCCCATCATCTCCACCTAGTACAAGCCATCATCGACTCTCTCCTGAACAGCCCCCTAACTGATCTCCTTTCTTCTACTTTTGCCCTGTGAAGGGTAGTGGGCTTTCCATAACACTGTAAATTCAGAGGCAAAACCAGTCAAGGCCAACTGGATCCTGATTTGGCTTTCTCCCTCATCATGGTCTTACTAATGCAGAGTTTGGTTCAAGAATCAAGAAAGCCTAATATATAAATATTACCTTAAATGGAAATACATAGATTGCTTATGTAAGCTCTTCTGGAATGACAATGAAAGCCTTAAGTATAAAAAGGCCGAAATAAAACAAGAATGGAGCTGTCCAGCATCACTGGTAGTTACAGGCCCATATCAGGGACTCTAGGAGCACAGGAAATCTGAGCAGACATTCTGCATCTGCTCTTGTAAAATTCTAATTTAATATCCTTGGCAAATTTAAATTACATCAGAAACTTCATCTAACCTTATATTGGCAGGTGAGTATGTTCTCTTCCCACCTACTCATAATCCACTTGAAACACTATGCTCCCCCTCACCTCCCAGTCTATTCTTCACCCAACAGCTAGAGTGATATTCTCTTTAAACATAAATCAGATCACATCATTCCCCACCTCAAAACCTTCCAACGGCTTAAAATATAAATCTATAATCTTTATTAGAACCTATATGATCTGATTGGGCCCCTGCTTACCTCTCCACCTATCTGTCACCACTTCCTTGGTGATTCTACTCCAGCCACACTGATCAAGCTCAATTCCACCTCATGGCCTTTACACAGACTGCTCCCTCTGCTTGGAACGGTCTTCCAAGATCCTCATATGGCTCCTTCTCATCTTTTAGGTCTCTTCTCAAATGTCACCTTCTGATACAGGCCTCCTCTAACGGTTGTCTTATCTACTGCACCACCCTACTTTATTTTCTTTATCTATTTTCTTATTAACTATTTGTCACCCTCCCCCAACCACTCCCACCACTAGAATGTAAGTTCCTGGTGGCAGGGCGAGGACTTTGCATTTTTCACTGTTTCTCCAACATCTACAACAGTGTCTGGCACATAGTAGATAGTCATTAAATATTTGTTGCTATTATTATCTGTAAAAATCATTTGCCATGGAAATTCTTGAGATGTCTCTTTCCCTGTTTCCTATGCTCCACTTCAATATTTTTTCCTCTTGTATAACTTTTCCCTCTTTGAGAGACAGACATCATGTCTTACATTCTTTATATGGTCAATAACCTCTAGTACAAACATTTGTAGGGGGCTGGCCCCATGGCTCAGTGGTTAGGTTCACGTGTTCTGCTTCTGAGGCCCAGGGTTTCACCAGTTTGGATCCTGGGTGTGGACATGGCACTGTTCATCAAGCCATGCTAAGGCGGCACCCCACATAGCAGATCTAGAAGGACCTACGACTAGAATATACAACTAGGTTCTGTGGGGCTTTGGAGACAAGGAGAAGAAGAAAAAAGATGGGCAGCAGATGTTAGCTCAGGTGCCAATCTTAAAAAAAAAAAAAAATCTGTACTAGTTCTGATCCCCCAAAAAACAACAAAGAATTTTACTTTGTAGATAGTAACTGTCTTCAGAATAATTTCCAAAGTTGTGGTAAAAACTGGCTGTGGTATTTCTTAAAGGATAAATCATGACAGAGGTGGCACACTTACTTCTGGCATCTGTTTTATCAGACTCAGTGAGACATAAATCATCCTTGGCATCAGTGCTTCCCTCAACACCATGTCTTATAAAAAACTTCAAATCATTTTCATCAATTTCATTCTCATCATCAATATCATACTTCTGTAGGCCCTCTAATAGCTTTACTGCTGCTAAATGGGCAAACCTGTAGGAAAGAATCAATAATTAACAAGATCCACAATCCTCTTCATATTGAAACTGCAGTTTGAACTTAATTTAGGGAATTATACTCTGTCTATTATGCTACCAAGCCACCCACCAGTAAAGGAGCAAAACTGTATCTGAAGGTCAGTGACAATGCAATGTATGTGCAGCGATGTGGGAAATTCAAACAGTTCCTGGACAGTCAGGACAAGCAGTCAGGTTATAAAGACTAATTTCATAATTTTTATTGGCAAAAATCCAACTAGGGGGCTAGCCCAGTGGCACAGTGGTTAAGTTTGTACATTCTACTTCAGCAGTCCAGGTTTCACAAGTTCAGATCCCAGGACCAGACCTACACACCATTCATCAAGTCATGCTGAGGCAGCATCCCACACACAAAATAGAGGAAAACTGGCACAGACGTTAGCTCAGTGACAAGTTTCCTCACCCAAAAAAAAAAAAAAAAAGAAAGAAAAAAAAATCCAACTGGGAGAGGAGACCCAATATCAAAAGAATATTTGGGGCCCCCAAACAGAGCTGCTTAAATGAATAGAAAACCCAAAAACACCCTACTCGATTACTTGTGTTTACTACTCTTTTTTGATGGCTTAATTTAGATTGTAAAGTTGGTTCCAGTTCCAGTTTTAGGGCTTATTATAGCTACAGCCCTCTTAATCTTCATCCTTCCTCAGCCAATGCACTTGGCATGGCTTTCAAATCTAATGGAAAAATAATGACTTTTTCATCCGCATTTTCTATTTTCTTTGCTCTTTCCCACATCTCTGTGAAGCTTCCAGTAATATACTCTTGGTTTGGAGTTGTACTGATTGTGATTGCACGTAACCTGCACATTTTTTCCATAGTTTCACTAAGTGAAATGTTTAATGCTTTCTCTTAGGACATGGAGAATTACTCGCTAAACACAAAAACCTCAAATCCTATTTTTTTCCACATACTTACATAACCACACACACATGCACACATATATCCTTACCTTTCACCAGGTACTGCAAATCATTAAAAATATAGTAATAAACATATGTAGGAAGTTATAAGGTTAATAGAATTCATTGCCTCTATTACTAGGTTGTAATTTAACAGCTATCATTTACTGAGGATTTACTTTATGCCAGATTCAAGGTTATTTCTGTAACACCACACTCATACCTAGCATTTTGATGATTGAATGACAAAGAAATGTGGGCCAGAAGTTATGAATAGTTCCAGATAAACTTATAGTACTAAATCATCCATGTGATATTGCTACAAAGTTAGACAAATCAATGGACAAAATACAGAGTCCAGAAATAAGCCTACACATATATGGACAATTGACTTGGACAAAGACACAAAGGCAATACAGTGGAGAAACAACAGCCTCTTGAACAAATAGTGCTAAGACAACTGAATACAAACATGCAAAAAGAAAAGAATTGGATGCGTACCTCATACCATATACAAAAAATTAACTCAAAATGGATCATAGACCTCAATGTAAAACCTAAAACTATACAACATCTAAAATAAAACATAGAAGAAAATCTTTGTGACTTGGTATTAAACAAAGACTTCTTAGATATGATACCAAAAGCATAATCCATAAAAGAATAAATTGATACTTTTGCTCTACAAAGACATTGTTAAGAGAATGAAAAAACAAGCCACTACTGAGAGAAAAATCTTTGCAAACACAAATCTGAGAAAGAACTAGCACCCAGAATATATAAAGAGCTCTTAAAACTCAACAATAAGAAAACAACCCAATTTTAAAAAGTGGACAAAAGATCTGAACAGTCAATTCACCAAAGGAAAATATACAAATGGCAAATATGTATACGAAAAGAGGCTCAAAATCATTTTTCATTAAGAAAATGCAAATTAAAACCACAATAAGATACCACTACATATCTATCAGAATTGCTAAAATTAAAAAAAAACTGACAATATCAAATGCTGACAAAATAAAGAGCAACAGAAACTCTCATCCATTGCTGGTGGGAATGCAAATTGGTACAGTCATTTTGGAAGTCACTTCAGCAGTTTCTTAGAAAAGTTAAATATAGCCTTAGCATATGACCCAGCAATCCTACTCTTGAGTATTTACCCAAGAGAAATGAAAACTTATGTTCACACAAAAACTTATACATGAATGTTTATAGCAGCTTTATTCATAATCACCAAAAAATGGATACAATCAAAATGTCCTTCAACAGGTTAATGGATAATCAAACTGTGGAATACTATGGAATTCTACATGCAATGGACTACCACTCAGCAATAAGAAAGAAATGAACCACTAATACACATGAATGAGTCTCAAAATAATTATGCTGAGTGAAAGAAGCCAGATATATAAAAGCACATACCGTATGATTCCATTTATATAAAACTCTAGAAAATGCAAATTAATCTACAGTGACAGAAAGCAGATCAGTGTTTGCTTGGGGAAGGGGGAATGGGGAGCAGTGGTAGGGAGAGAGATTACAACAGGGCACAAAAAAACTTTTGGGATGATGGATATGTTCACTATCTTGATTGTAATGATGGTTTCACAGGTATATACATATATCAGAATTCATCAGTTTGTACTATATAAATATGTGTACATAATTTATAGTATGCATATTATACCTTGATAAAGCTGTTTTAAAAAATAAAAATGGGGCCAGCCCAGTGGCATAGTGGTTAAGTTTGCACACTCTACTTCAGCAGTCAGGGTTTCGCAAGTTCAGATCCCAGGAGAAGACCTACATGCCATTCACCAAGCCATGCTTTGGCAGCATCCCACATACAAAATAGAGGAAGAGTGACATAGATGTTAGCTCAGGGACAATCTTCCTCAAGCAAAAAGAGGAAGACTGGCAACAGATAATAGCTCAAGGACAATCTTCCTCAACAAAAAAAAATATAAAAAATAAATAAATAAAAACTAAAAAGTGGGCCTGAGTTGATAAAGATCATAGGTACACAGTACAACAACACCACACTGCAAAGCTTCAAAGAAATTCCACAGACAAAATTCTAAGGAATATGAACTCACAAACAAAAATTGCATGACAATTTAACGAACGATTAGGTCCTTGCATCCTGCCAAGCCTCAGTTGCAACTTTTAGCCCACACTCCTACTTTAAGATTCAAGCAGTTCTGAACCACATGCAGTTCCTCAAATACACAAGATGTTATCTTACAACTCTTCCTCCTTCAAGTGTCAGGGTGAATGATGTTTCCTCAAAAAAAACCAAAAGTTTTCCCTGACCTCTATATAAATTCTGTCTCCCTAAGTTTCTTTTATAACTCTCACCATCATCTGAATTAATGCTTCTCCTCTGTAACTTTCAAATAGGAAGACTTGGGCACTTTTTACTGTACCTTATACATAACATGTAATGTGATATAATGATTATAATTAATAATAATTATGCTTGCACATATGTCTCTCCACAAGACTGTAAGCTCCTTGAAGGCAAGGACAGTGTTTTTTCATCTTTGTAATCTTGATGCTAACCATAGCACTTGGAACATGGTAAGTATATAGGAAGTTGAATGAAAAAACAGCCAGAAGAACAATGGATTCCTCGAGGACCTGACTTGAATGAGCTGGAGGTGTTCAATAACAGGTGTTACATTTAATTCAAATATAAATATCAAAATCTGTTTCAAAACCCATATGACTCCTTTTGATTACTCCTTTTTTTCACACAATATTTCTCAACAGGTACTGGCATTTGTGGGAACAATTCATTGTGCACCACTGTTCTGAGCACTGTAGGAAATTTTGCACTCCTGGACCTGACCTTACTAGATATTAGTGATGGTCTCCAGTCGTTTCCAAATGTCCCTCCCCACCAGGAAAGGAGACAATACTACCTCCCAGTTGAGAATCACTGCTTTAGAGAGAAGAGCTGATATACTATCAAATGTCAATTCAGCTTGAAAATTGTCATTGCATCAGCATATAATTCCATTAAATCTTCAGAGATTCCTGAGTATAAGAGAGTATATGCGAAACTTCAAAAACAAAACAAAGGAGCAAAACAGACCGGGATACCTCTTAGCCACATCACTAGGTTTCTCTCCTGCTTTGTTGGTAATATTACTGTCTGCTCCCATTTTAATTATCCACTGCAAACACTCTATGTGGCCTTGTCCAGCAGCTGTAAAAAATAATAATAATAATCAGAAAATACACAAAAAAGTTATTGTTATTACTAACAATTTTCTGAAATTTTGGACAGTACCATTAGAGAGTAATTTCATAAGTACTGATCCTAGCAATAACCAACAAATGTAGGTTGGGCAGATGTTATTGTTCCTATTTCATTTATTCACTCATTAGACAAACAATTAATCAAATATCTACTGTGCTCGGCCCCTATACAGAAAACTTTCTATACAAATATAAAAGTTGAAGTTCAAAAGGGTTATTTAACATCAAACAGCTAGTAAGAGATTTGAAACTAGAATCTAGGTTTTTCTAATCCTCATCCAGTGCTCATCTGTCTACAGCTCCTAACCAATCTTGTATCAGACCAGAATGTGAGCACAATCCAGCCATAGGGACCCACACCGACTTCGAAAATCATTCACCATCTTATAGCTTATTCCTGTGACCCTCACAACTCAAAATTTACAGGCCCCTCGTTGATTATCTAAACTGTTTACCACATTTTCCAAAATCTTGGCCTCAAAACACATGCACTCAATGTTAATTTTCACCTCCACTACTCTGCTTATGTGTTTTCTCACCTAATGCCCATCTCTCAACTATGTGCTCCAACTCCTACCCATCCTTCTAGGTCCATCTCAAGACTTGGGGAAACTGTGGGAAAAAACCTTAGTAGACTTAAAAGATCTGAGTTTAGGTCTACTAAACCATGAGACTAGAGGACAGAACAGAACTTAACAAGTGGCCGGCACATACAGACCCTCAATAAATATCTATAGAGTTGATGTGTGAATGAATGAACGAAAAAAATGAATGAAATCTTGTCTCTGCTCTTACTAGCTATGTACCTCTGTTAAGAAACTTGATCCCTTTGGACTTAAATTTCCCCATCTTTTACAAAGATGATTTCATATTTACAAGGAGAGTACACTGCTGCTTCATAAAATTACAATAAAGATTAAGTGTGATGACAGTTTTGCACCCTTTGAGTATCATATAAACATAAGGTATTATTTCTGAATTCCCATGAAGACTTCCTCAATAATTTAACCCTCAGCAACTTCCTCTGTTCCTCAACTCCTATTCCTGAATTCCTATTGTCTGTATTTTAATAACCAAATACTTTTTACCATTAATTACATCCTAACTTGTAGAAATCTCTAGTTGTTCATAGTATAAGTATGTATCCCTTAACAGTATCTCATATCTTTTTTTAAGATTTTTCTTTTTATTTTTCCTTCTTCTCCCCAAAGCCCCCCAGTACATAGTTGCATATTTTTAGTTGTAGGTCCTTCTAGTTGTGGCATGTGGCACGCCACCTCAGCATGGCCCAATGAGCAGTGCCATTTCCGTGGCCAGGATCCGAACCGGCGAAACCCCGGGCCACCGAAGCAGAGTGCATGAATTTAACCACTCGGCCACGGGGCCGGCCCCAACAGTATTCATATCTTAACAAGATCTCATACTGTCTGCATGGTGTGGGCACATCTTGGTGCTGAATATATACATGCCTCTGTAAAATGAATCAAAGAGTAGGAACTTTGGTATGACTTTGGTACCTTAAAAAGTGAATCCACCTCCAATACTGGCAACAGAGAGGAGAGGACACAAAGCCAGATCCAACGACAAAGTGACCCCATCACTACAGCCCTAGAGCCCAGCTTACGAAAGGTCTGTAAGAACTCTCGTGTTGCCCTTCTCTACTTGACTCAGAGCCATCTGCCAAACTCAGAGTTGTCTCCTGAAGACCTGGGGTTTCTCTCTCTCCCAAGTGAATTCAAAACCAGCTAACAAAGAACACTAGGGGATTTCCCAGACCTTTAGAAATAACCCCAACTGTAGGCAAAAAGAGCAACATATTCTGACTTTAAGAGTTACAAAATCACATTTATGAATCACAGATAATGGTGAGTTTTATAAGACAGAATGAGTTTAACCCACCATTTCCATTTTATTACATAGGTAATGTTTACATGGGGTAGGCCTAAGTAATTTACCTACAATGAAATACAGTCATGCGTTGCTTAACGACAGGGATACACTCTGAGATACACATTAACATGCATCGTTAGGCGATTTCATTGTTGTGAAAACATCACAGAGTGCACTTACACAAACCTAAATGGTATACCTACTACACACCTAGGCTATATGGTACCGATCTTATGAGACCACCATTGTATATGTGGTCCATTATTGACTGAGATGTCATTATGAGGCACACGACTGTACGATAAAAGGATTTTTACCCAAGATCATTATTGTATATTGATTAGGATAGGTTGATTAATTTTATCAATGTTTTATAAGAGAACAAGATAAAACTATGCAGTGGCTAGAAATTTTTAAGAAATGATTTAAAGTAATTATGGTTTAAGAGCAAATGAATAGAGGAGAAGTCACTGGGATTTAACAATCACTAAATGACAAAGAAGAATGCCTCAATAATAGATATTGTAGCTTATTTACTGAATCAAAATTAAAATGAAAGGAAAAGAGACAGATTGACAAGTGAGGGAAAAGTGAAGTAAATTATAAGGAGACATGAACTTTTATTTACCCAATTTGGATATGATCTAAACACACAGATGTTCCCCAGGAGAAGCCTAATGTACATAAAAATGCCCCTTCCCTCAGCTGTAGCCACTTATCACCCCTCCACCACACCAGTGGATCCAGCCCTGGCCCCAGAGTCCTTACTGGACAGACTGAAGAGAAGCGGCAAAGGACAAACGCTTCTGGTTCCTCCTCACTTTCACTCTCCCACCTTCTCACAATACCTGCATCCCAAACACTCTGTTGTAATACATCAGTCTCTCCAGAATCTTCTTCCAGATTCCTGATTCCATCTCAGTCAAGTGGTGAAGAAATACTGAGAAAGGCTGAAAACCAGCCATCAATGAAACTTAATTTATCATTCTCCCAAAGATGCACTCTAAGCACCATGAGTGAATCTCTCTTTCGCTACCATGTCTAAATGACACTACACATACACTTTAGCAATAAAAACTGGTTGTATCTAGGATACGAAACGGGGCTTTGCTCCAGGGCACCAAATTTTTTAGAAAAATACTTTATGCACATTTAAAGTCTCCTCCCCATTCACAAATACCATGGTGAAGAGCTTAACCCCTAAACAGCCAGCAGAGAGAGAGAGAGAGCAAGATTCTCCAAGTTTAGGGTAGAGAGTTTACCAATGTGGTGACCTCTCTATGTATAGGAAAAACCTCTTCTTCCCACTCCACTCACATTTTCTCACTTATAAAACTGTTGGCACACCACATGGCACTTAGATTCTATACTTGAGATACATTATGAATTAAACTAATAATTAAGCTAAGAACCTAACCAACAGGAAGATAATCTGTGATTGGGACTGCCAAAAGTTATTTATGAAATCAAGTCCAATTCAAACATACGACCATATTAACAAACCTCCTGTCTTTTCATTCTAAGACTTTTACAAGAATTAGCTGCCATCAGATTATGAAGAAACTTATAATATAATAAATGAAGCAGAATGGAAATTTCAGGTGCAGTACATTAAAGAGTTGGCTTTTGATTTTATAACCAAAAGGAAGACTGGCAAGAATAAATCCTAGAGTATATAGTCCCAAACCTAAACTGAAAATTTGACAATGTCTAATTAAAAAACAAAAAAATTGATCAATATTTTAGAATTCCACCTAGAAAGAAGAACAGTACAGAGAAAAGTGGTAGACATCTTGAAAATGTGCTCAAATCTAATGTTCACTGATATTTCTATGGAAGTAGAAACATTTTTTGCAGGGGCTGGCCCCGTGGCCAAGTGGTTAAGTTCAAGTGTTCCGCTGCAGGCGGCCCAGTGTTTCATTGGTTCGAATCCTGGGTGCGGTCATCAAACCACACTGAGGCAGCGTCCCACATGCTACAAATAGAAGGACCCACAACGAAGAATATACAACTATGTACCAGGGGGCTTTGGGGAGAAAAAGGAAAAAAGAAAGAAAAAAAATCTTTAAAAAAAAAACATTTTTTGCAGTTAAAAGGTCTAAAGAAGGAAATTCTGCTATACTTTTTTCAAGAGATATGGTTCCTGTTTTAGCATGAATTAATAGGTAATTTTTAGTCCAAAGAAAATGTTAGTCCTAAGAAACTTCTCTAGCACTGAATTTCACATCTTAACTAACACGAAAATGTCACAAGAAAATTTCTATTGGAATTACCTTCAAATGTGATAGTGTGTGAATGCCTGTCATCATAAAAGTAATATCACACTTGAATTAAAAATTAACCATTCTTGGGGCCGGCCCAGTGGCGCAGCGGTTAAGTGCGCACTTTCCACTTCGGCGGCCCTGGGTTCACCGGTGGGGACCCTGGGTGCAGACATGGCACCACTTGTCAAGCCATGCTGTGGCAGGCGTCCCACATATAAAGTAGAGGAAGATGGGCATGGATGTTAGCTCAGGGCCAGTCTTCCTCAGAAGAGGATTGGCAGCAGTTGGCTCAGGGCTAATCTCCGCCCCCCCCCCAAAAAAATTAAGCATTCTGTCTACTATACAAGGTAGACTGATACGTAGTAGGGTATCAGGAAAAGTTTTACATTTTCGTGTGTTTCCGATGGATACTTATTTTAAGAGATAAGTAACTCAACAACAATTGTGTTAGAACTGAAAATGAAACAGGAATCATAACTTACCTTTATGCAAAAGAGTTGATCCATTATTATCACGTTCATTAATATTAATTACTCCATCTTCTATTAATTTCTTAAGCATTTCCAAATCACCCTTAAAGGCAGCCACATGACCTGGAAATGCTAAAGCTATGAATAAAAAATTCAGCATTTCAGTAAACACATGAGTTCATTCTTTTTCCCTGCCTTAAACAGTCACACATTTCAGGTTCCAATATTAACTTAAGTATGAGAATGTTATATTGGAATTCGTTCAGTTGATGCAATGACAAGTAATAAAAAGAGAATCATAAAATAAGATTATTATTAATTGTGCAGGCTTTCCACCACTCAGGACCTCAAACATGCCAGGAGAAGTACTGTACCAGAACTATTCTTAGCCATATTCCCCTTTTCCTTCATGTCACCACAAAAGGCAAGGAGATGGCCATTTTCAACCCTTTATATAAAGACACACTTAGTGTTAAGTACTGCATTTACAGACCACTCTCTCTATTTTCAAGAAAGTAAAGAAAGTAAAATAAACTGGAAGCAGATAAAGTATATGTGTGTATGTATACATATACAAATACACATACATGTGTGAATGTACCTGACCTAGTGCCTAGCACATAGTAGATACTTGATAAAATGTTTTTAACAATAATAACTACATATACTGAGCCCCTACTGAATATCAGGCACAACAGTAAGCATTTGTAAGGATTGCCTCATTTAATCCTCTTAACAACTCTGAGATGCAGCTACTCTCATTTTTCACATGGAAAGAAAACAACTCAGAACAGCCCAAGATTATTTTAAAAAGAACAAAGTTGGAGACTTACACCACCTGATTCTAAGTCTTACTATAAAGCTACAGCAATCAAGACAGCGTAGTATTGTCAAATAAACAGATATATCAATAAGACAGAATGCAGAGGCCAGAAATACACCCATACATATACAGGCAACTGATTTTTGACAAAGCTGCCAAGGTATTCCAATGGGGAAAAGGAAGTCTTTCCAAAAAAAATGGTGCTAGGACAAGCAGCTATAAATAAAAAAACAAAAAATTTTTAAAACAACACTTTATTTCACTCAGTATCTAAAATTTAACTTGATGGAGATCAAAGATCTGAATTAAAAAGCTAAAACTGCCTAAAATATTGAATAAAGAAACGAATCTGGGTGAATGTGTGGACAATGATATATAACATATTTTAATATAACATTTGCCTTAAAATCTCTCTCTTTCCTTTTCCATTTATTCCGCTTATCAAATGCTAAAATATTTCAGGCTTATTACTTACTTTCCTGATCTTTTGGATCATTTCCTTCATACTCAGCCCCTTGGATAAACTGTAAAATGTTCTGCTTAAAGAACCTCTGGGCCAGGTCCGACACATTTTCTCCATTATCATTGAAGGCTTTTAAAGCTTGTGTTGCACTGCTCATTCTACTGAGTAGGAATTTAAAACAGTGAAGGTGGCCTTCCATGGCTGCTAAGTGAACTAAAAGTGAGAGAGAAAAAAGTTTATTTTTTAAATTAACAATAAAATATCTGGGGAAAAAAGTAACACATTGGCTCTAATCCTCATAGGGAGAGGACCATCCCGGCCCTACCTAACAGGGACTTACTCTGAGCAAACAGAACAGACCTTTTCTCCGCCTACATCTCCCTATGTGTCAGCCTTCTGCCATGCCAAAGCAACAGACAAAATGTTTGCACGGTTACACTTACTGTGAGTACAGAGAGGCTACATGAGGGTCACCAAAGAGCAGGCCCCAGAAAATCTTCTGGAAAGTGAAACCCCAATTTGCAGTTTATAAGTACATGAGAAATGCTCACTATGTAAGATAGAGAGATGACAGATAAGATAAATTTATCTCAATATTTTGAAAAAAAGTAGAATAAACTAAAATAGTCACTATGCAAATATGAATGTTATTTTTATCACTATGTATTTTGTCACTTTTCCATAAACACTTATTATTTTTATTATAAACAAGAACACTGGATCAAAACTACAGACTAAGCAGACACACTACCTCACTATTTCTACTCTAAATCCTTGAAAATAATAGAAAAGGTATTTTTTTAAAAAAGCCATAAAGGACAAGAAAAACAAACAAGAACATCATGAACGACAAGAAATGTTAAGGAATCCCTGAAAGAAAATATATTGAATCAGACTGAAGGAGAACCACAACCCAAAATCTGCAAAACACAGGAATGGTTCTGGGGTATTACAAGCTAAGAGATAATGATTACAAAGAATAAGAGAGCCTTTACACTTTTTGAGAAGTGACTGGGAAATAGCCCGATCAATACACAAATCTTGACTCTAGAGAAGTAGGGCAGTACCCAAGTGGCCAGTATAGCCCAGGAGAAACAAGAAGTCACAATGCCAAAAGATAAGTGGCTGGCACATGCCACTCCACATTTTCTCAGCTGAACTTCCCACTAAAAAACTCCCCCTGGGGCCAGCCCCGGTCGCCTAGTGGTTAAGTTCGGCATGCTCCACTTCAGCAGCCAGGTGTGGACCTACAACACTCATCTGTCAGTGGCCATGCTTTGGCAATGGCTCACATACAAAAAGAGGAGGATTGGCAACAGATGTTAGTTCAGGGCCAAGGTTCCTCAACAAAAAAAAAAAAACAAAAAACACTCCCCCTGAAACTTCAAGACTCTTCTAACTCCTCACTCATCATGTACACATCTTATAGGCATTTCTAACTTAACCTGTCAAAAAAGTAAACTCCTTATCCTTCTCGCACGCATTTTCCTTATGTAGTCTTTCCCATTCTCACTTAATGGAAACTCTCTCCTTTCCATGTAGTTCAGGCCAAAAATACTGGAGACATCCTTGACTTCCCTTTCTGTCACTCTCCACATCTAATCAATCGGCAAATCTTATTGGTTCTATCTCTAAAATATACACAGACCCCAATTTCTTCTCACTATCTTTGCTGTCTCTACTCTGGTCCAACCCAATTGTAGCCTAAATTATTGCATCAGGCTCCTAATTGCTCTATTTCTGCCCTTGCCTCTTCTACAGCCTCACTGCAATCTGTTACAAAAATAATAGCCAAAATGATGTTTTTAAATATAGTCAGATCATGTCACTCCTGTGCTCAAAATCCTCCAATGGCTCCTGTTACCTCACTGTTCTCATCATCTATTACTCACCCCCTCACTTCTGTTCCAACCACACTGACTTGCTGTTACTCAAACACACCAGGTACACCCCTGCCTCAGGAGGTTTGTCCTTGCTCTTCCTAAAATGTTCTTCCCCCAGGTTATCCATAAGACTTGCTCCCTCAACTCCTTCAGGTCTTTACCCAGTTGTCACCTGACCTAACCCCAAGGCTTCCCTGACCGACCTATTTTAAACTTCATCCTCTCTAACACTCTAATCCCCTTTCCTATTTTCTCCAAACACATATCGCTATTTAATATATATTTTGCTCATTCATCTGATTATTGTCTGTCTCCCTGCTCACCACCACAGGAAGGCAGAAATTTTTGTCTGTTTTATTTGCTGTGACATCCCCAGCACCTAGAAGAGGGATTGACACATAGTAGATGTTCAATAAATAAATGGTGAATAAATAATTTTTTAAGAGAGAGGTTTGAACACAAGCAGTCTAATCCTGAGGTTCTATTCTTAACCTCTACATTATACTATTAAAAAACATATTTCACATGGTTATAAAAATAATTATATATGTTTACAGAAATAAAAGTTGGATTTTTTTTAACGAGCAGGTAATGAGATTCACAAAAATTATCAGACTTATTTAATAAAGAACTAAATAGAAATGAAATTGCCCCCTACCTTGTATTACAGAAAAGTCAGTTCCAGGTGGGTTGGAGATCTAAATGTGAAAGTAAAATAATAAAATTTCTAGAAGATAATATAAAAGGATGTCTTCATGACCAGAGAGTAGGGAAAGATTTTTTTTAACAGGATTCAGAAAGCAATAACCATAAAGGAAGAGCTTATTTAACTGGACTACATTAAAATTAAAACTTCCATTCTTCAAAAGATATCTTAAAAAGAATGAAAAGGCAAGCCATTGAATGGAAAAGATATTTAAATAGAAAAGATATTTGCAACACATGTAAGTGACAAAGAGCTTGCATCTAAAACATATACAGAAATCTTACAATTCAATCTAAAAAAAGACAACTCAAAAAGTAGGCAAAAGATTTGAACTGGTACTGCACAAAGAAAATAACCAAATGACCATTAAACATACTAAATGGTGTTCTGACACCTTTAGCCATCATGGAAAATATAAATTAAAACCACAACGAGATATTACTATACATCCAAAAGAATGAATAAAACTAAACTAATAATATCAAGTGTTAATGAGAAAGTGGCGCAACTGAAAGTCTTAAGCACTGCTTGTGGGTGTATAAATTGGTAACAACCATTTGGAAAATCAAAAGAAGCCAGACACAAAAGAATACCAGTGTATTATTTTATTCTATAGAGGTCAGAAAGAGAAAAATACTAATTTTTATGTTAAAAGTCAAAGTAGTGATTAACTTTGGAGGTTGGTAGTAACCAGAAAGAGGACATGAAGGAGACTATTCTATTTCCTAATCTGGCTAATGGTTACAGAGAAATATTCATCTGCAAAAATTAAATGAGCTGTGCATTTGAATTGGGCACTTTTCTGTATGCATGTTATACTTCCATTTAAAAACTTAAAAAAAAAAAAAAAGAATGAGAGCACAATAGTCATTTCCAGAAAGACAAAAATTGAGAGAGTTCATACCAACAGACCTTCACTAAATGAACACTAAAGGATGTACTTCAGAAAGAAGCAAAAACGATCCCAGATAGTAGTGTAAAGGGATGGAAGATGAGGCCAGGGAGGCAGGCAAGAGCCAAATTATGAAGGCCCAGCATGCCGAGCTACAGAATCAGAGTTCCACATCGATCCAGGGAGTTTTTAAGCACCAAAGTGATTTGATCAAACCTGTTCATATCATTCTACCTGGACTTCCCCTTTGTTTGTTTGCTGCTTATGATTCCTTTAAAACATAATTCAAGTATTATTTTCAGTAACCCTCATCCCAATCTCACTGTGATCTATCCCTCTTCTGAGCTTCTATAGCACCTCTTAGAAGAAGACAGGATGTTTAGAGGACAGGTTTCAACTGGCTAGTTGATTGCAGACTAGACAACTGCAGTTAAAAAACTAACTCAAATACACTAGTGTCCAATATTTATACTATTTTTTTTTAAAAAGTAGTCTATCACACAGAGATACATAAAGTTAAAAAATAACAACACTAGACAGTAGATGAAGGAAACAGCTGGTAGGAAGAGTAAATTCAAGTTTAATCTTCTCAATTTCTCTTTTGCTCATATGGTTCTAGAAAAAAAAATCAATCACACGACAAGTACATAACATAGGCTTAACATAAGATTAAAAAACGTTCCCGTCAACATATTTACTACTTTAGTGTTGTGAGGGGACTATTGGACTGATGACAGTTTAAATTTCTTAAACGTAATCAAACATTTTAAAAGTTTACATTAATGAAAAACAAAATATTTGCTTTTGTGAATACCTGGAAGGTTTCCATTGTAGTCCACATCTTCTATACCACATCCCCATTTAACTAGAAGTTGCAAACAGCCAAGCCGCCCATGAAAAGCTGCATAATGTACGGGTTTCCATTCTCGCTTATCAGTCACACTGGGATCCTAGAGGTAACATTCACAAAGACACAGTTTCTTTCCATTTTGTAGGGGAAACACTAAGTCTCCCAGCTTAATTTTGCAAATGAGAATTGGATGCTGTTCTTTTTTTTTTTTTGAGGAAGACTAGCCCTGAGCTAACATCTGCCAATCCTCCTCTTTTTGCTGAGGAAGACTGGCCCTGAGCTAACATCTGTGCCCATCTTCCTCCATTTTATGTGTGGGACGCCTACCACAGCATGGCTTGCCAAACAGTGCCATGGCCGCACCCAGGATCCGAACTGGCGAACCCTGGGCCGCTGAAGTGGAATGTGCGCACTTAACCGCTGCGCCACACTGGTTTGAACATACAAGCTAATAAGATATGAATGAAGTTTAATAAAACAGTCTTTTTTAAAAGAACACAAACCAGTCACATAAAAATAGCATTTAGAAAGGAACTTAACTAGTTATTTTACTGGTCACAGGTTTCTGATCAACAAAATGAAAGAGATGGAATTCAAATGATCAAACTATATCCTTGAAAGCATAAATGAAGAGTTAATGAAAAAACATTTAATAGGCTTTTGTACCTTTTCTCTAATTATAGAAACACCAACTCTCAAAATGATGTCTTCAATAGAGGTAGTTCTTTTAAGAAGTTATTTTTTACAACTACTGGGTAATATTAAAAATAAATATCACAATAAATGAAATTTCTGGATATATAAATCTCTTTCTAAATTAGTGCATGAAATAGGAATCACAAAAGAAAGACACAGGTAAACACACAGAAATTCAGAAAGATTTACAATAGCTGGTTAAGATGTGTCTGGAAGATTCAGAATCTTCCCAGTTAAACTCTGAACGGATGTGAAGAACCCACAGCCTCTGAAATACTTTGTACTAATAAACTGCTTTTTTTGAAGATTTATCTAAATTATTGCTCCCATGTTTAAAGACGGAAAAGTGAAAGAGAGAAATCAAATTACTTCCTCAAAGTCATAGAAGGCATTTTAAAAGTCAGGAAGAGATAACCAGACTACCAAATGCTATTCCATCTACATGATCACACATTCTCACATATTAACAGGAATCTCTCACCACTCCACTTTGGAGCATTATTTGTAAAGTGAAAGAATGTCCGTGTGTTGCAGCAAGGTGCAAAGGGGTGCATCCCCGATCATCTTGAGCTGCCAGATTTGCTCCATTGATTATAAGAGCCTAAAAGGAGAGAAATAAGAATAATTTACATGAATGCAGACACAGATTATTGGAAGGCAAGTAATTTATTAACCTATCGCTAAATTATTATATATGTTCTTACATATGTGCCACAGGCAAAGGGTGAGAAATTCTTAGCTAATCCTAAGAAAATGCTTGAAGTCTTTTTCACATTGCCTAGGAGACACTTATAATACCTGATTTCACATTCTGATTTGAGCATGTCCATATGATTTACAAGACAGTTTTCATGAGCATTAATTAGTAACTACTAAGTTAAATACTTTAGTGCTAAGCTAATAAAACTGAAATTTAAACTTCCACTATTTCAAAAGCAGAATCTTCTATTAACTGGATTTTGAATACAATAAAAGGATTTCATTATTAAAGTAACTAGTTCTAAGTTCCAAATCAGACTTCTCACTGCATCTGAGGAGATTCCACCTGAATTTATAATTGGCCCGGTTTCTCTAAATGGGTTATATCATATACACAGATACATAAAATACATAAAATAATTAATATACAGAGTAATTAGTTTAAAGGAATTATTAGTTAATATTTTCAGTTTTTTCTCCCTCAGTCTTTTTTCTTTTTTAACCAGCCTACATTTGCCAGTATCTCATCAAAAGTTTCACTCAGTCATAAGCCCAACAAGAGTTTTAGGAAAAATAGTCATGATTTGTCTGACTCCCATTAACAAACCAGTCAGTAATGATCACAATTGAGTACTGTGATATATTGAGTGCTTACTGTGTTTTAAAAGTCACTACAAAGAATATGAAGACATATCAACTTAGGAAATTAGAACAGATGTAGAGACAAAGATAATCAACTGTGCAAAGCAGTCCTTGATAAGCAAACTACACAGTACAGTACCCAAAAACACCTCAACAGCTCAGAGAAGGAAGAGATCACTCTGACGAAGAGAAGGACACTCAAGGCAAAGGGAATGGTTTGAACTAACACCTGAAGGAAGGAAAGCATCAAGTAAAGTTCATTTGACCCTGACGTCCCCTAAAGTTACTATAGTATTTTCTCCTTCCTTTCCACTGCTTACTTCTCAGTGCCTCAATTTCAAATCCACCTGCAAACTGGGTGCCATTCCTACCACTGTACAGAAATACAGCCAAACTCACCCTACAGTGAGCTCTCAAGTTCAATGGCATTTCCTTAAGCTTATTCCCCTTAGTGTTATCCTGTAGCTGATACCCGGCCTAACTTCTTAAACCTCTCCCTTCATTTGCACAGCCCTAACAGACCCTGGCTCTCCCATCTCTCTGACTTCCTCCTCTGAATTCTTTACTCATTTCTCTGCTTCTTCCCATGCGTACTAGCAACAGCTTCAACCTTCAATCCTCCATACTCTACACTCTTTTCTATACTTTATTACTCCTGAAATTTTTGTCTTCAGCCCCCTTTTCAACTGCCTGGGCTTTCTGCACCTGAATGATCTATAGGCACCTTACACTCAAAATACGCCACACTGAACCCAGTATCTTTCCTCCCAAATCTCTCCTGCCTTTCAGATTCCCCTATCTACACTGTCATAATTATGTCATTCTGACCGGAAACTTTAAATTCTCACTATAGTCTGTCAATGCCGCCTTCTCAAGATGTCTTAAATCATCTCCTTTCTTTCCCACTGCCAACACCTACTTTCACCCTCTAGGGTTAGTGATTACACCAAAAGTCTTCAACTGATCTTCTTGCCTCCACACTCTCTCTTCATCCTAGGTAATCCTGGATACATCTCGTTAGAATAATTTCCTGAAATACTGCTTTCATTACCTCATTCTCCTGTTAATGTCCATGTGTATGTATATACATATATAAATATATAAATGTAGTACATGTATAAAAACTCTCTTTCCTAGCAAATGAATCCAAAATCTTTATTCTACTTCTAAAATATTTTACAAATCTAGATTATCCAAACTTAAGTTTGTAATAGGCCACACAACAAACTATCTACACTCAGTCAAACTCATATAATAGTACATTCCCCGAACACGGCTCATTTTCCTAACTTGGACTTCACACAGGATCACAGCACAGAGGTTAACAGGACAGGTCTAGGTTCAAATCCTGCCTTTGTCACTTACTTAGGCAAGTACTTAACTTTCTGAATCTGTTTCCTAATCTATAAAAAGAGGAACTCAAAAGATTGTTACATTAAATGAGGTGATGCATGGCAGACTGTGACTGACACATAAAAAATGTCCAATAAATGATAATCATTATTTTTATTTCTTCCTGACATAGTCCCTACCTACAATGCTTCTTCACCTCTTACCTCTTTGAAATAATCCCACTCTTTTAGGCTTGGCTGAAGTTTTATTTCCTCCATTTATGATCCCTCTATCTCCTCCTAAGTTCTACAATTCTTCTCATCTATACTTTTCATTAGAACCCTAATCACAGACTGTGCTTCGTATTGTTTTATAACTCACTGAGCAAAGCTCCTATGACTCCAAACAGAATCTCAGACTTCTTGCAGGCAGGGACTGTTTGCTTATACAATTTTGTATTCATCCAAATTCCAGTCTATTTCAATATGCTGATTAAATCTAGTTGCTCTAATAAACTAGATCCTGCCACATCTTAATGTGTTGCTCTGGCCAGGAAATACATTAAATAAGGAATTTTAGGCATGGCAAGCTATAAAGCAGATAATCTGGGCATGACTGTGACAGCCCTTAAAACAACCCAAAAGATAGCCAACTACTTCAGAGATAAAAGGATCTCTTGTCTTACACCATCTGATTAAGCAGATAGTTGATACCAAAATATCTAAGTCATGAAATCCAGTAAGTTGTTGTTTACAACACAGAAGTAAATCTGTGAATTCAAATTATTAAAATAAAAGCAATATCCTAACAGAACTATGCTAACGTAATTAAACTTATTGAATTTTTAAAAAGTAAATGAAGTTATTAGTACCTGCATACAAGCATCCTGACCTCTGATTGCAGCTATGTGAGCTGCTGTCCAACCTCTTGTAGTTGCTTGTGCAATGTCAGCTCCATGCCAGAGGAGCCAATGAAGACACTAAATACAGACAATAACCATGTTAACAAGTAATAAGGCAAATGTTTTAAACATTTTTATCTTTTATCTTTAGTCTATCACCATGAAATACTCAATGCAGCCTGAGGAGCATACTAAGTGAATGAGGGGGCCAGGTGTAAGAAAAACAAAAGCACAAGCACAGTGATACAGTAACCAACATTTGGCCTTACTGTTGGTAAACAACAGCGAACAGTGGGAACTGTGGCAAACTGAAGACCACATTCCTTGTCCATAAGGTGCAGATGCTACTCACTCCCAGCCAGTTGTTGCTATGAGTAAAATGCTGATCCAAATCTTATGTCTGACGAATACTGTGCAAGCCAAATAAAACACATCTGTGAGCCAAAGTCACTCAAGGGCTGCCAGTCTGCAACCTCTGCCATAGATTTTTTTAATGGTTCCAGAAGCTTCTGTATCAAAGCAAACATTGTTATTCTGATGATACTCTCTAAAATAATAAGTGGTTTATATTAAAAAAAGGGAGGGGGTGGGAGTTAAATGCACCTTCATTTAAGATTTTTTTTAATTAACCTAAGTCTCAATACAAGACAGTATACTTAGAAGTGTGTGCCACCTATGGCATTACTGTCTTAATAGGTTCAAGTCTGTAGACTCCATCTTCAAGAAGTTTCTTTCTTTTTAAAAGAATCGATTACATCATTAAAACACACTGTCACATGAGTCACAGCCATATCATTTGTTATCAGGCTGATTTTTAAACTGCTTGGACTTTGAAAACATTCCCAAGCCACACACAGACCCACTAGCAAAAGATGAAATCCTTACTGGCTCAAGGTATTTAAGCACATGCTCTGATAAATCACTGGCTGATCACTAAGTTATGCTGACCCAGGGGTGATCCCTAGGAAGCCAGAATTAAAAATAAAAACAAGAATTAGAAGGAAAAAAACCACTGAGCAGTGGTCACATGCTGTGAGGGAAACAGACTCCACACAATCAGTCCAGGCAAGTCAACAAACAAACAAACACCCAGCAACAATCACCCCTGGGCAGTGGTGAGGCAAGGAGGATCAGACTCCCGAGTCGCTACAATATAGAATCTAAAATGTCCAGTTTTCCAAGTGTCCAAACTAAAAAATTATGAGACATACAAAACCAAGAATGTATAAGCCATATAAAGAAAAAGGGCAATCAACAGAAACTATCCCTAGGAGGGCTCAGATGTTGGACTTAGCAAGACTTCAAAGCAGCTATCATCAATAGCTTCAGAGAACTAAAAGAAACTATTTTTTTTTAAAGAATTTGTGTTTAAAGAGTTAAAGGAAAGTATGATAACAATGATTCACCAAATAGAAAATAAAGACAAAGAAACAGAAATTATTTTTAAGAGAACCAAATGAAAATTCTGGAGGTAAAAAGTATATCTGAAATAAAAAGTTCACTACAGGGGTTCAATAGCTGATTTCATCTGACAAAAGAAAAAAATGAAGTCTAATATAGTTTTCACCAGTTGCTAATTTAGTGATTATTTCATAATACCAACATACAAGCACCACAAGTCCTAAGAAATTTCAGAAAAGATAACAAAATGTGAGGAAGTTAATGCAGCACTCAAGTAGAGAATTATAAGATGATCTTTAAATGGGAAAGCAGAAAGGCACCAAAACCTTTTGGTTTAATTTGTTTCTGTTAAATTCAACAAGCGTTTCCTGAACATCTGCTATGCACTGTGATACATACTAAAAATATAAATTAAATTTAATTAAACAAATTCAGCAATACAACAAACATTTATTGAGAATCTACAATGCAACTCCAATATGCCAGACACTATGCTAGATGCTGTGGAAGAAAAAGATGACTAAGACCAAAATGGTACCTCCCAATAGCTCAAAATCTAATAAAGAATACAATTCAATATGATAAATACAATGAAAAAATATGTATAAGATTTAAAGGTAGCACTGAGGAGAAGGTAGCTAGTTGGGGGATATTGGGAGGAGAAACACAGAAGGCTTTACCCAGTAGGTGCTGCCTGACGTGGATTTCAACCAGGTAACAAAGGGAATGAGGTGAGACAAGGCAGATGAAACAACATGTGTAAAGTCTATGATAATATGAAACAGGAGTCTAGTTTGGGAAATGATAATACTCCACCAGTACTCCAGCATAAAACAAGTATCATGGGAGATGAGGTTGGAGAGATAAGTCTACTATATTAAATAGCTTAAATTTTATCCTATGGGGGTAGAAAGACACCGCAAGGACTTACGGAGGCTTGTAAACGATAGCAGATTTTAGTTTTAGAGTGGTGACTTTGTATACAGAATATGAACTAAAGGTGGACGAGACACAAAAGAGGAAAATCAATATGATCTAAGGCAGTGGCTATGCAGATGAAGAGCACAAATGCAAAAGACAAAGATGAAACAGAATGAACTGACGTAATGGTCAGTTCTCACTGCATCAATGTGCATCCATGAAGTGCACCTTCATCCAGACAAACGTTTATAATGTGTTTTGCTTCTATAAAAAACTGAGACAACTCAATAATGATTCAAAGGCCATTAGCCTGGAAAACTACGAAAGGGAAGGAAAAGAATAATGGTTTAGTTACAGAGCAATTGAATTTGAGATTCTAATCAGATATGCATAAGCTGTTGATCAAGCACCTGATACATAAGCCAGAATTCCGGAGAGAAACCAAATCAGTGAGTTATTATGTAAAAGTGAGAAAGCCAAGGAAGTCTACAAGATTGCCTGAAGAGAGTGTATAAGGTAAGAGAAGCAAGGCCATTGGCAGAAGCATAAAGAATACCTACATTTATAGAGTAGGCAGGGTAGGTTAACCAAAGAAGACTAAGTGAGAGTAATCAGAGAGCTGAAAGGATACCAGGAAAGAGATGAAATAAATGGTATATCAAGAAGTCCTATCCTATTTGAATATGGCAGAGTAAAAGAAGTATTTCCTCCTCTCTTCAAAATCATCACAAAAAAAAGAAAAATAAAAAAAGGAAGAAAACCCCATCTTTGATGAAACTAAGAGACATGTGAAACTCAAACCACAAAACAGATGGGAAAGCTGCCAAAGTATAGATCTAACAGGGATGCGGGAGGAACCAGCAGAGAAAATACCCATCCAGGGCTGCAAGTGCAGAAAGACTCATCAAGACACATTTCTCCCAGGTAAGGGGAAGCCACTAAACGACCAAAGTGAAAGTTTATAGCAGTTTAAGTTGGGCACACCATCTGGTGGAGAGAGATTCTCTGGACCAAATTTGGTTCCAAGGAGGAGAGAAGCCCAAACAAACAAGGAATCACAGAGAAGGCATATTCATAGAAAGCAGTCTCTGTTTGTGCAGCAGGGGAAAAAAATAGGAGACTGCACAGTGAACAGATCTACTGCAGCCAACAGGCTGGGGAAATATAGTAGCTGAAACAAGCTCCCCACACACAACCTTGAATCATGAGAAAAATTCCAGGTGGCTTTGTACGTGGTCCAAGAATAAGAAGCTCTGCATAAAAGTATTCACTAAGCACTGATGTACTGGCTAAAAACTGAAAGCAACTAAATATTCACCAATCAAAAAATGGATAAATTCTGATATTAGTCTAAGAATAGACTATTACAACGTGGGTGAAAGAAATCAACTAGAGTACTACTATATGTAACCACACAGTTAAAAGCCAAAAACACATTGTTGAACAAAAAGAAAAAACCAACAAGCTGTAGAATGATACACATAAGATGATGTCATTTATATAAAATCTCACTAAGAACAATGATATAACCATATGTAATAACAGCATAAAACATAGATGGGAATAATAAACCCCAAATTCAGGGTAATAGTTATCTCTAGAGTTTCTAGAGTTGAAGGAGAAGAATGGTACCTGAGAGAAGTGCTCAGGGACTTCAACTGTATACGTAATACTCCATTTCTTTTCTGAAAATCTAAAGCAACTATAGCAAAAATGTTAGGATTTGATAGAGCTAGGTATTATGTTATCCCCTATGTCACCCTCTATGTCTGCCTTTGGAACGCACCCACAACATTGTGAGGAAGCACAAACTAGCCCAGATGGAGACCTCACAAAAAGGCCCACACAGAGAGGAATTAAGGTGGCAGCCAACAGCCAGCATCTACCACCAGAAATCTGATGAACAAGCCTGCAGAAGATTCCAGCCCCAGCTTTTGAATCTTCTAGCTGAAGCCCCAGACATCATGGAGCAGAGACAAGCTGTCCCTGGGAAGCAAATTCCTGGTTCACTCCTGAGCATAAATAAATGGTTATTTTATGCCATTAAGTTTTGGGATAACTTGTTACACAGCCATAGTAATCAGAACACCCAAATATTAGACTGAATTGAAACGAAAAATATTTGCAGTGCCTAGCATAACAGCTCAGTTCTGTCTGCTAAATTTACAAAATTACTTACAGCTGTAAACTTACCTCAGTTTAACAACGTATATAGCTTCTTACCTCCAAACTTCCAGAATGGGCTGCCCAATGTAAAGGGGTAAATTTATGGAGAATGTCAACTTCATTAATGCTGGCTCCACGTTCCACTATTTCTGAAAGCCGCTTTACATCTCCCGCTCGTATTGCATCATGTATGCTACCAAAATGCACCTTCTTCCTCACACCTATTGAAAAATCAAATTGCTTAAAATATATTACAAAACTAAAAAATAACTAAAGCAATGATTCAATAGAGAGCAGAAAATGACTTTGGCTTTCCAAATAATTTACTACAAAGATGTTTGTGATTAACATCTTAATCAGACTTCCATCTCAGCTCTAACATGAAAAGAGCACAGAGGTTATCATTCCTGCATATACAGGAAAAAAGCTGAACAAACTGAAAATCAATGACTTTTCTTGGACTGATCAGAGAACTGACATCTATCTCAGGGTAAAGTGTCACCCTGAATCTGGAGAAACAGGCAAACACAGAAACACAGTCAAGTTCAGTTTATGTGAAGCAGCAGCCACTGGAGGTATAAACTACTAGAAGAACTTAAATGGCAATTTTGACAAATTGCTAGGGGCTAGGTATGTGGTAGCCTAAGACTGAGCAACTCCTTGAGGCCAGTCTTAGGAGGCCCTCACATTTTCATAGATTTTATCTTCAGAACGCCACCAGGATATCACTGTGAAAAGCCAAGAAAAATCACCTGTCTTTGGGAGGGGGCAGGGAAAAGTTATCATCTTGAAATATGCCCAGTGCATTCTCGGTAAAAAAGACCTACTCCCCAGTGAAAAAGACTTTACTAGACCCTTATCTCACATGGGCAGATACCGTATATTTTATCAATATTTTTCTTATCTTTCTCATATGTCCTACACTAAGAAAGGGATGGCAGGTCACAATGTTTACTTCATACACTCTAGTGTCTAAAATAATTTAAGTTCCAAACATCAAGACTGCATTGTCAGGTGTACCGTACTGTGAAATATTTTAATGTGCATTGTGAACCAGAAGAAATAAAGGTATCTAAGTATGAAGAGACAGCTGCTGGAGGAGGAAGCAGAGTTCAATCAAAGCATTTCCTAAACAAAATAAACAGGCATGATTCCTGACCTCAAAATTGTTTTTGAAAACAACATACAAACACTTCTGGCAGATAATCTATGCAACCTCATATTCCTATTTATCTATGTATATGTCCTCTCTCCACAATTTGAATGTTAATTTCTTAAAGGCTGGAATCAAATCTTACTCTGGAATCATATCTTACACAACCCTTAGCAAAATGCTACACATTTTACTCAAAAATCCTTTCTGCACATCTATCATGTGGCAGGTACTGTGACAACATAATGGAAGATAGACATGGATGTAATATATTTTCTTTCCACCAACACTTTAAAATCCATTTGGATAAATTCAATGAAATCAAAAACCTGACAGTAACTAAGAGAGTCCTAAGAGTTCTAAGTCCTAAGAGAGTACAGGTAAAATTAAGAAGGGGGAGGAGGAAACATTTCAGCAAGGCCTTGAAGAACAATTAAGATATATGCATATAAGGAAGGGAACAAAGAAGGCACAAAAAATACCCCAAACCACTTAATAAATGTTTAATGATGTTAATTAATCTCCTAGGTCAGACCTTCATTCTTCTCCTTTAAACTAGTACAGCAATATCTATAGATGATGTTCTACCACGCTAATCCACTGTAGACAGACACTATCCTGATTATGCCTCTACTCCAAACTGCTTCTGGTTATCCACTGCTAGTCTAGAGAACAAAGCCCAAACCCTCAGTAAGACAAGCTCTGTTCTCTCATAGTTTAGCTCCATCTAATTTTCTGGCCTTTTTTCACACCACATTGCATCCAAATTCATTCAATCATCCACCTATCCATCCACTCAACATTAATTTGGTGTCTACAATGAGGATAAAAAGATGAAGAAGACATGGCCTCTATCCTCAAGGAATTCCCAGAGATACAAATACAAATTAGAAAATAATGAGATAAAAGCAATGACAGAAACATTCTTAAGAACTTATGGAAGAACAGAAGACTTCTAGCTCGCAAGGGTAAGAAGGAAGGGGAACAGAAAAGGATTCCTGGGGAAGATAACATCTAAGATAAATCTTAAGGATTAGCAGGAGTTTCCCAGGTAAAATGGGAGCAGGGAAAGGCATCCTAGACAGCATGAACAGTAAGTGCGGCGAAGAAACCACAAAAAACCCTAACCTATTGCTGAAGCATAAAGTGGAAGGAAAAGAGCTAGAATTAGACAAGAGACAGGCTATGGTGGAACTTGTTGGACTTGAGCAGAGCATGAGAAGTCATGGGATTTGAAAAAGAATGATCAGATTTGTAATGCTGAGTTGATATGGCTGATTGTGGTAGGGGGAATTCATTGACTGGGCAGCAAAAAGGCAAGACTAGAGACTCAGGAAGACCATGTAAGAAGTCTACACCAGAAAGCTTGAGACCCTCAACTAAGAGAGTGGTAGTAGAAATAGAAAAGGAAAGAGATTCAACAAATATTATGGAAATAAGATGAAGTGAACTTGGATGGATATAGCAAGTGGAAATAAGGGAAGGGTAATGGGATAGCTCCAAGGAGTCTGGCTTAGTTACCTGAGTGGTGTGGTGACATTGAGACAGTGAACACTTTAAGGAGAGGGCATATGAATACAAAATTAGGTTTTGGACATGGTGATCTTGAGGTACCCAAGGAAGAGTTCCAGAAGGGAGTTGTACATATGAGTCTGCAGCTCAGAGGAGAGATCTGGAGTTCAGTCTCAGTGTTAGGTGTGTCTTGGTACTAGGTAGCTTTTTCTGAAACCTGTTCTCACCCCACACTGGAGCCAATGGCGCTCTACTCTTCTTTATAATATTCATCACACTAGTCGTTATTGGTTCAGTATTTATCTTCCCCACTAGAACGTCAGGAATATGCCTGTCTTCTTTACTGATATATCTTTAAGACACAGCACATAATAGGCACTCAATAAATATTACTGGATGATTGTATGAATAACATAAGACTTGGGGGTCCTCAGTAGGGTTGAAGTGATAGTACATCACAAGAAAAAAGCACCAGTGATGGCACTGTCCAGGGGAAAAAAGCAACATTTAAGGAGAAGATAAAAGATAAGTCAGCAAAGGAAAAGGAGAGTCAATGAAATGGAAGGAAGAAAACTAGGTCTAATGTCATCTCCACAGGGTCCAATGCTGCAGAGAAGCCAAGGAAGAACTTCAAAGGACCCATAAGATTTAACAAGAATTGATGTCAATCCGGGCAAGAAGTCTCAGGCATGATGCAGATGGCAAGAAAGGGAGGAAAGCTGAAATGAGGGAGGATGGGGGACAGGTGCACAGCTGTGGGGCCCACTGAAAAAAGGTCAATTAGGGGAAATGAGGAGTGATAGCCGAGAAAGGGAAGTGCCAGAAAAGGCTAAGGTTGAGGTGGGATGAAATGAGGAAAGGAGGGTGGCACAGGCAAGGGCCGGCGAAGCAGTCCGACTCACCGGGGGTTGCAGTCTCCGCAGAAGAGGTGGAAGGGCCCGAACCCGGCACCCCGGGCATGCTGCGCTCCCTCCGGAGAGGGGTTGAGTCCAGGCCCCTGCTGCTGCGGCGGTCTTCACTGGCTGTCACCCACGAGCCACTGCGGGGGCCGTCTTCGTCGTCGTCGCCAGGACCGGGGCCGCCGCGCACCCGGGCTCTCTCGCAGGAGCCCCTGCAGCGGAAACCTTCGTCTTCACTGTCTCTCTCCCAGAAGCCACAGAGGCGGCGGCTGGCGTCTTCGCCGCCACTCACCCCGGAGGAGTCGCTGGCCGCGTAGCCGCGGTCTTCACTTACTCCCTCCCAGGAACTACTGAGGCTGGGGCCGCCAACAACACTCCCTCGCTCCACAGAGCCACCGACGCGGGGGCCGCCGACTTCACTTAAATTCCCGTCGTTGCGGTCTCCCCGTACTCTCTCGCAAGAGGGGCCGGGACGGTGGCCACCATCTCCCCTGACCCCCTCCCGAGAGACACTGCGGCGGTGGCCCAGGCCCTCGCTGACCCTCCTCGAGTCACGGCGGGAGAAGCCGACGTCTTCGCTCCCTCTTCCCGGGGAGCCCCTGCAGCGGTGGTCGCCGTCTTCCCGGCTTCTTTCCCAGTCCTCGCTAACCCTCTCCCCCGGCGGGCCGCCGCGATGGCCGTGTTGGCCGTTTATCCTCCACACGCCACGGCTAATGCGGCGGCCGCCGTCTTCGGCCGCTGCTCCCCCCGAGTCGCTGTGGCGGCAACCGCCGTCGGCGGGGGCCCTCTCCTCCGAGTCGCTTTCCAGCGTCCCGACTCGGGCCACCTGGTTGGAGTGGTGGAGGAGCCGTCGCCTTGGAAACAAGTAAACATCCGGCGTGCTGCGGTCATTTCCAGTTCCTCGCGACTGTGCGTCACTTCCGGCTTCCCTGCCGTCACCCTTTCCAAGGCTTCGCCTCTAGAGGAATCGGCTGGCGGTGCGGGCCGGGTTTCGGGGGACTTCCCCTGGGTCTCTCGCCCCACCTAGCTGGGGCCTGTCTCTGTAACGGCGTGGCATCGGTCTTGCCCTCCGTGGCTCAGCGACGCACGTGGTGGCTCCAGGACTGCAGTCTGCGTAGGTGACCTGTGTGGCGCGGGCCGGGCGGGGCCTTTCGTCCTTGGCAAACCTAGTGTAGCTTTTCAGTGCCGGCTGGAGCATTGGGGAACATCTGTTCTTACCAGCATTTCACAATTACAGAAAAAGACCTCAAGGAGAAGGTGGCAGCTGCAGCCGCTATCATTGAGTGCTTGCTAGTGCCGAGCCTTTTGATAGTCGCTTGGTTCTTAATTCTCACAGTAATTTTGTAAGGTAGGTGCTAGCCCCATTTCACAGGTGAGGAGATTCAAGCTGTCAGTAATTTGCTAAGGCCAAAGAGCGGGTAAGTTAATAGAACCAGTATAAAAACACAGGTCCTTAGTCGAAAGACTGTTCCACGTCTCCTGACTCCAAATTCAAAGTTCTGTTCACTGTAAAATGTTTGCTTTCAACAGTTTGGCCCAAGTCTTTTTCTCCCACCCTATAGGTTAACGTGCCTCCTTCCATTCACTATTTTTCGCAAATATATGGGTCAGGTTTTGTGCTGGAAGTTGGGAATACAGAAATTAGCATTCTCTGTCCTTCAAGGGCATCACCCACCTTGATTCTTCTCTCATCCTGTTTTTTTCTATCCTTATTGCCTTTCTACAGGTTTTTCTTCTGTGAACATATTTGGGAAATTGTCCTGACCCTACCTTTCTTCTCTTGAAATAGAGTAAATTGCTTTTCTTTTCATTTCCATAGCATCTTGTAATATTAATGATAACTGCCATGGGGAGTTCATATGATGAGTCCGGTAGTGCTTTATATTAGTTTTCTTATTTAATCCTTAATATAACCTACCCAAGATAGTATTACCATTCCTTTTTACAGTTAGAGAAATAAAGCACCCAAGTTAATTGTCTGAGGATACACAGCTAGTAAGTAGTAAGTACTTGAATTAGGTTTCCAACGTAAATCTGCTTTTGCTACACATACTACTCAGTCTCTGAATTCACAGTCTTTATTAGACCACTTATCACATTGTATTATAATTACCTATTTAACAGTTGATCCTCACCCCTTCCCCACAAGGACTCTCAGCTCCTGGAAGGTAGCGACTGGATCATTATTCATCTTGGTGTTCCTAACATCCAGAATAATTAGTTCAAGGGAAGGGCTTAGTAACTGGTGAGTAGGTGGGTTGTTCGGCTGATTGTCTAGTGGATGAACTGAAAGGCTGGAAGTAAAGTTTTTCACAGTTGCAAGGGAATTTGGGATTAGTCATCCCAATCTCCTCATCTTTAGAAATGGGGCAGCTGAGACCTTTTGTCTTACCAGACGTCTATTGAGTTATTGATATGGGCAAATTTCTATGCTAAATGATTTGTAATTGTTTCAAACTTAATCTGTGTTATTTCTATTTTTACAGATGAAGAAACTGCTCAGATTTGGCCAACATCACATAAGTAGGAGGTGGGGAATTGGAACCCCTTATGACTGACTCCAAATTAATACAGTGTTTGTAGCCACTTATATAATAATGGTAAAGGTTTTATTTTTGCTATGTTGTGTGGATAAACTTACTGAGGGAGTGAGGCAGCACATCCTTAAAGGATACAAAAATGACAGGAAAGATCAGAAAAGGAAACAGATAAGAGAAAAGCAGAGAAAGTAGTGGCCAGCCCGGTGGCGTAGCAGTTAAATTTGCACGCCCTGTTTCAGCAGCCCAGGACTTGCCAGGTCCAATCTCAGATGCAGACCTGTGTACCACTTATGAAGCCATGCTGTGGCAGGCGTCCCACATATAAAGTAGAGGAAGATGGTCACAGATGTTAGCTCAGGGCCAGTCTGCCTCAGCAAAAAGAGGAGGATTGGCAGCAGATGTTAGCTCAGGGCTAATCGTCCTCAAGAAAAAAAAAAGAAAAGCAGAGAAAGTAAAGTCTCCCAAAATAGAGTTAAAAGGAATTAAAAATAAAAAGCAGAAATAATGAGGGGCCGCCTGCTGGCATAGTGGTTAAGTTCACCTGCTCCACTTTGGTGGCCCAGGGTTTGCAGGTTTAGATCCTGGGCACCGACCTACACACTGCTCATCAAGCCATGCTGTGGCGGTGTCCCACATACAAAAGAGAGGAAGATTGCCACAGCTGCTAGCTCAGTGATAATCTTCCTCAAGCAAACAGAAGAAGATTGGCAGCAGATGTTCAGGGCTGATCTTCCTCACCAAAAAAAAAAGAAAGAAATAATGAAATAGAAAATAAAATCAGTCGATCATAATAGTAGCTGGTATTGAAAAAGAACAATAAGTAGACACTTAGCAAATCTGAGGAAGAAAAGGAGAGGAAACAAAGGGAACATTGTAGGTATGAGGGACTTTGAAAATCAAAAGTGAATTTAGTGTAAACTTGTACTAATAATCTTGAAAATTGATGTGGACAATTTTCTTAGGAAAGTATAAATTTCAAAAAATTGGCTCAAGTGTTAGGAAGCCTTAATAAACTGCTTATCATAAAAGAATGCCCTATGTATCCCTGACACAAGTCACCAGGAACAAAGCATAGAGAAGAGTGGAGTTCTTCCCAACTGTGAAGGTAGCATAACCCTCACAGATCTCAACAAGGGTAGTGAAAAAAAACTTGTAGTGCATTCTTACTTATGAACATACATGAAAAATTCCTAAGGAAACTATGAAGCCAGCAGTACATTTAAAGAATAATGTGAGAACCAAGTTGGATTTATCCTACCAGTACAAGGGTGGGTCAACATTAGACAATATAGCAATGAAAATTTCCTGCATTAATAGCTAAAGGATAAAAACTATATGATCTTAATTGATACTAAAAAAGTACTTGAAAAATTGGCATCTATTACTGATTCAAAAAGAAGAAAATAAAATTCACATTAAGCAAGTAATAGAAGGAAGCTTACCTAACTGGATGAAGGGTATCAACCAGAAATAAATAGCACATTTAATGTCATGGTCCAGGTTATCTGCTAGCATTCCTGTAATTCAGCATTGTTCTGATAATTTTAGACCCATTGTAGTAATAGTAATAAGATAAATAAGGTATGAAATTGGAAAGGAAGAAATTAAGACAAATGATAGCATTCTTTACCTGGAAAATCTAAGACAACTGTAGAATGTCATTAAATGTTAGAATAACGTGTTCAGTAAGATGGTAAGCTATCAGCAACATACAGAGTTCAACATACAGAGTTAAGATTTCCTATAAACTAGATATAATCAATTTTTGGAAGATCTCGTTCACATTAGGAACAATGGTGAAATAGTCTAGGAATAAACCTATCAAATGAGTAAAACTGACATTAAAAAAACCATAAAACTTCATTTATGGATGTTACAGAAGATCCAAGTAAGTGGAAAGATGTGCTGTGCCCCTGCATGAATAGGCTCAGTATTATAAAGATATGATTCTCCTCAGACTGAATTTGTTGCATTTCAAGTAAAAATTCTAATATAATTTTTAGTAGAAATTGGTAAGATGATTTTAAAGTTTATCTGGAAGAATAAATGTGCAAGGTTAACGAAAACGTTTTTGAAAAAAAAGAATGAGAACTTACCCAAATACATATCAGAACTATAAAGCTAGAGTATTTAGAACAGGGTGGTATTGGAACAGAACTAGACAGATTAGTGGAACAAACTAGAAGCCTGAAATAACCACATGTATATGTTTGTTATAGAGGTGACATTTCAAATAGAGAAATATAGACTTCAGTATTTTCATATACAAAAATTTCAAAAGAATTAAAGATACTAACAAAGTACTAGAAGAAAATACAGAAAGTTTGTTTTATAAACCTTAGGAAGTCCTTCCTAAGCAAGACAAGCCCCAGAGGCTACAGAGAAAAAAATTTACTAGATAAACATTTAAAAGGCTACAAGACATGTTACCATGAAATTGAGACCAGAGATAGATTTAATGTTTATTATCTTCTAAAAATTTAAGTCAGTGAGAAAGAGTAACAATAAAAAAACTAGCAGAAAACCTGATGAAAATACCAAAAGCAAATCAACAAAAGAAAGGATACTCAAACTCAGGAAGACTGCTGTTTGCACATAAAAACTAAAAGATAATGGATAATGAATGTTGGAAGAGGTTGGCTAAACAAAGCACTCTGAAAACTCTGTCAGTGAATGACTAAATTGGTGCGACCCATGGAGGACAATTTGGCAATATCTGTCAAAATTCTAAATAGACATTACCCTTGAACCAGCAGTTATCCAGTTGTAAAATCTTCAGAATAACTTGCTCAGATGTATGTACTGGGACAGTCATTGCAACACATTGTAATTACGAATAATTAGAAACTTGAATATCCATCAGTGAAAGAATGGCAAAATAAGTTATGCTACATTCGTAATGTGAAGTATTACACTGTGGTAGAAATGCAGATCTAATTGCATTAATCAACATGGAAAGATAAAGTAAATGAAAAAACAGGCAAAACAGTACATATGTGATCTCAATTAATTCCTAAAAATTACTTTGTAAAAGAATTTTTTTCAGAGTTTGGGGAGGATCTACACCAAATTGTTCATTCACTTGTTACTTTATAGAACAAGAAAGACGATGCAAAACAAGACATCATTTTCTGTACTTCTGGTATTATTTTTAAATTTTTTTTAATTCTTCCTAAGTAAAAACACAGAAGCACAGGAAAACATGCACTGTCACATAAAGCAAAAGAAGATACCTTTAAGGAGTACACGGGCCAGGAGAGATTACGAGGCTAAGGAAAGCACACTGGTTTTGGCAGGGAGTCATTGATAATACTCAGGAGAGCAATTGTAATGAAATAGTCAAGATGTAAAAACCAGGTTGCACAGGATTTCAAGGTAAGTGAGGGACTGACTGAAGGAAGTTTCTCAAGTGAAACACCTTTCAGAACACACACTGAAGTGGCTGGGCATCTAAGCATTCCAGAGAATTAGAATTCTAAGTAGGAAGCTAATGGTTCCAATTAGTAAAAATGACTAGCCCTCTACCTCTACCTCAGTTGTTCCAAAGTGGGGTGATAAATCAGGATGTCCACCTAATTCCCTCTAAGTCAGCTCTTTACATCTAGTTTCGGAGGAGGGAGTGGGACCAAAAAGTTGAATTAAGTGAGTTTTGGTAACC